GAATGTGCGCATCTTTATCGCTATCTTATCTCGATAAGCGCTCAGTCTGCCCGCGAAAAGAGATGGTTTTGGGAACACTTTTTGTCACTATAATTCCAGAGTCATAAATTTCCCGCAGACGCCATCGTCTTTGCACCTGATGAGCCGCCGAGGGTGACTCGCGATCGGTGAGTTAAGCGGCCAAAAAAAAACCCACCGGCTAATTATGAATTCATGAAGGGTGTCGCGATGTGAATTTACCGCAATTGCGCCTCATGTGTGTCTCTCCAGTGGTCCTCAAGACGAATGTTTATTTTATTGTTAACACACACTCATCCGACAGTGAATGGGATTCGGGAATGTTGCGCACATATTTGTCCATATGTCTTTTATTGATGGTGTTAAACAAGGAAAATTCCTCTTCCTGTTTCTCCGCTATGTCATGTAGAGCACCTCGTTACAGGCGTTTTTGTGTGCGCTCTAGGGCCACTCTTGGGGTGAGAATTGGTGATGAGAAGGGACAAAAAGTCATGATGATACACCATCAATGCTGTGGTCTATCTGCTGGATAAAAAATTGTTGACATTTATGAGCTATTTCTCTGCTCGTGATGGTCGTTCAGGTTGTCAGGGTGTGTTTTATGGGACGACAAGTGATCTCTCTGATCAGAAATCGTCAACCGCAAAATTTATATCCGTCGTATTTGGGCAACACTTGAGCGAAGGGTCATTTCCCAAATCAATACAGATTTCCCATTTGCCGAATTGGCCCTGTCCTAATAATCCTATTTGAGGAGAGCGTGAAGATCCCAGCGAACTCAAAATGCAAAGAACTCAAAGTTGAGATTGAAAAAGCTAATTTTTCGCTTTCTTTCAGCTCAGCTCTGATGTCTTAGCACATTTTAGGTAAAATGTCTGCTTTTTTATCTTTTGTGGTTCACTGGGATATTTCACTGATGTCGACAAGAATTTGAACAACATATCTGTTATTTATGCATGGTGTGTTTGTATCATTTGTGCTGTAAACAAAGTTCTGGGCGAAAAATCGGTCATACAGAGAGTGGAAACCCGTCAGACTTTGGCAAAATATGACACGAAGGAGATGAAGGAGAACGCAAGAGATCGATAGTGGAGGAATTGGCATAAAAATTCATGAAAGAGCGCAGCAGCTAATTGTTGAGTGACCAGGACACTATCTCCAACCGTCATCGGCAGCTGGTGGCTCACCCAAGGAGGCGCGCGCGATGTCTGGAGAGACAAAATTCGGCAACGGCCAAAAAATTGAAAATTATCGAGACTTAATCAACCTGCCACCGCCACCCTTCTCATGCCCAAGCACACCCAGTGCACATTTGACTAATTAGCGTCAACGGAAGGTGAGGCTCTGGATTGGCATTTTGCGCGCCCCATGCGAATGAAATTGAAATTAACAGGTGGACGTTTTGGGCCACATTCTACCTCTCTCACGCAACTCTCAATTGCCACATTTTGCAATTTGTTGCCGACAATTAAATGGGCCCCTGTTGCATCCCGAAACCACTTCGGAACTAGTGCAGCGCTGGGGCAACAGGTGTAGCCTTTCTCCTCCTGCAAAACACATCTAACGACACAGCGAGGCCACCTTCGCGCCTCCGTTGCGCAACCACAGAGCGTCATTCCGTGTCGAGTGATCTATTGGCCTGTCCCATGCTCACCCCTCTTTCTCCCATCATTACATTTATGCGATAATTGATATAATTTCATAATTGCATTTACACACTATCCATTTTAATGAGGTGCAGTGGAGACCATTTCACCCATTTCAGCTGTTTCACTTCAGCTGACCCCCCCCCCCCCCCTCCTCGATGGTGTGTTAATGGGGAAATGAATAAAAATTTTATTGGCATCACCTTTGTTCAGCCAATTGCCTCTTTTTCTCCTCAGCACTGGAATTTTATGGCATATCTCAATTTAATGCGCTTTCATGCATTTGCAAACCCACTTGGGGTGTCTTTTTTGCACGTGACTCACGACAAGTGGCATCACCTCGTTATCGTTGCACCATCTTTCCGGCCCTTTGCGTGCCTTTCATTGCCACTTCACAGGAGTTTCACCTGTGCACATTTCAAATGCAACGGCTTTCAGCTACTGAGTAGCAGTTCCTGCAAGCAGGCAAGTTGGTAGAGTAGAAATATCGTGGCGTTTCTCCGCCACATATCGATATTTCATTCTGTTGTCTCGCTTCCTCCTGGGGAAAAGCGAGCTGGGGAAGTACCGAGGCCATCTCTGTCGCACTGCGAAGCACATCAGCTGACTGTGTCTTCCTCGATTCCAAGCATTCCACCGAAAGCATAGAGTTGCTATGATGTTTGCCTGGTAATGTGGCGCGCCCAGCCATCTCAGCTTTTCTGGCGGTTCGTTGCGCAATTTCGCCCTGGTGCCAGAAGAAAACCCGGCTTCTGACGCTTCTGGGGTCTAATCGCGGGCACAAACAATCGCCAGAAATCCCCACAGGGATCATACCAGTTCAAGGAAATCTCCCGAGACGTGCAAACTCCAAACATCTCTCAACAAATCACGGAAATTCCGTCGAAATCAAAGTAAAATGCAACGAGATTTTGATGAAATTCCCCAAATTCAACTCTCGCGACGCGACCCCGAAGCCATTCTGACGGATTCTGTTTACCATATTTTACTCTCGCCTTTCGTTCAGTCTCTCGGTCGCTGAGACACGAGATCTCAGAGCTGATTCTTCTGGGCACCCGTCAAATATCTCGCTGAGACAAAATCGTTTTCTTTCACTCTCGCGAGCTCATGGCATGACACGGACGCATCGCGTTCGCGGCAAAACCTAACCTCTGACGCGCAATCTATGAGCGCCTGGTGGTGATTTTGTGGCGCGGTCAAATGTTCTTCCACAATTGCACCACTTTGGGTGCCGCAGAGGCACGCCGTGGAGCAGTTCAAATGCTTCTCGTGGCAGCACTGGCGGCCACCTTGGCCGACCGAACATTTCTAATAGAGTCTGTGCCTACCAACCGCCCATAAACCGCCCATTTTGCAAACTGCACGCCAATTGTGCAATAAAGTTAAGGTTGCAGATTGCAAAGTAGTGCACAAAGTTTTGGAGCAGTGTAGTGTGCAATGTTTATGCTAGAACGAAGATGAGTTCTATCGCAGTTCTAAGTATCTATGCTAATCATAAGACTAACCAATAAGATTTCTCGGCGTTTTCAGGACATTTAACTCATGTTGAAACAATCTAAACCAAACTTTGGAACGGAATTAGGATCAAGCGCGCTAGCTGCCGAAAGGAAGATTTTAAATCCTATAAAAAGTCCAATCAAGAAATTCCTGCTAGTTTCTCAAAATTGATGACCCTTAATTCGCTAAATAGAATATTTGATATCGATATAAAACGGTTTGATCCGATCCAAATTATCGCCTGATAGAAATCAGTCGCTAATTGACTATGCTTTCATCGTCTCGTTGCATGGTCCTTTAAGTCTTTAAGCAGATTTTACTCTGCTTCTAGCCGTATTTACCGTCACAGGTTCACTGTGATCCGTAGCGAAATATTGGGTGTTTCGACGGCCCGAGAAGAGGCCTAAAGCACTGCCATAATCGCAGTGCTTGGGCACTTTTGCTCACTTGGTCCTTCTCTCCAACGCCCGAGGCAGGCGTTCAAAAGCCCAGCAATTGGAGACACGCGCGAGCGTGCGACGTCTTATGGCTGCCTGATTGCTCGTGAATCGCATGGGACCATGTTGAGAGGCACAATCCCTCATTTCCCACAAGCCGTCCCAGTTGCCGCGGTGCGCACGGAGGGATCGAGTGTCTCCTCGCTGCCCATTGAAGCCCATGCCGAATCCACGGCCTGGGTCTGTGGAGGCATCTCCCCCCACCGCGGAGGAGTCCGTCGCAGTCAACGGATGCGGGTAGGGCGTGTATGTCTGGGCGGAGAGGGAAGGCCTGGGTGCGAAATGTTGGAGAAGTGCCGGCACTTCCCCGGCCACAGAGGCACACAGGTCTTGAATTTAGTCGGAATTCGGTCTAAGAGAGTCTTTTTGCACCCGGCGACCAGAAGACCCGCCGCCGATTGGCGTGCGATTTGTCGGTGCGCGCCTTCGAAAGGGGGATTTTCTGTCTTCCACTCCTCAATTCCGACCACGTTGTGCCGACGAATCCCTCCACAAGTCCACAATTGCGGGTCGGAGTGCCGTTGCGAGTGCGGATTCGATTGGATGATTTCAGCTGTACGATTAATTTTCAAGTTGAACCACGTCAGAATGACGTCAAAATCGGTACATTGGGACGAATTGTATCAGGACGACATGAGGCGCGCCGCCACGCAGCGAGCATCCATGGGACTTCCCCTCTCCGGGACGTCGCGCGGGGTGAGAGTTCACACGACGGGCCCAAGGAAGTCCTCCGCAGCGTCTTCACAGGGGACTTTCTCAGGGGAATTCCTCTCCGTGTGTCACTGTCCGACGGCGAAAACTCACATGTGTGGCTCCACTGGGAGGAGACTGCGGAGGAGCGCTCTTGGCCGGTGTCGCGCACACACGATCTCTGACCATAGAAAAAGGCCGGGGCCAAAAAAACTCACAAAATAAAAGTGAAACAAATCTCTGACAAATGTAACAGGAGACAATAAGAGCCACCATCGACTTTTCAACCTTGGATTTTTGGCGTGACGAATTTCGGATGGTTCATCTCTCTTCTTCAGCGGCACCGCGACTCAACATTCGCCAACTTCGCGTCTGTTTTGGAAAAGAGAGTTGCAATGTGAGCGAGCGTGATTAGTGCTTTTAGTGTGGGAGTGTCGATTCTCTATTTACTCACTCCATTCATACTCTTTATCTAATCAAGAACTACATTCCCCTTTACTATAAAGTCTACTACATATGAGAGTTGTAAATAAAATTATTAGCATATCAACATTCATTGTGAGGTAATAAATAAATGGAATGATTTGAAAATGTACAATTTTTGCATTAGTTGTTTAGAAAAGATAGAGCAAATAAAATTGTAAATAGCGCAAGAATTTAATTTTTCTCTTAAATTGTAACCCAATACTTTGTCATTTAATGTGAGTTCACAAAAATATAGAGTTTGATAAGATATAATATCTAATCACTGTAAGAATGCTTTGAAACCATAAGGTTCTGATAAGAGGCCTTTATATCGCTGATCGATAACACTAAAGCTTCAGTTTCAAATATAAAAGTGGAGGAACAAGACGTACTTAATTGAGTGAACTAATCAGTGTAGGAAGAATGTTAAATAAAAGTGTAGTTTTGTCAACTATCGTGGTTGTTCTTATTTCTATAAGTAAGTGTAATATTCTATGCTGTTCTTTCTTGTAACTTGACAAACCGAAAGAACAAGTGAATTAAAGATGATTTATGGTGCGTTTTTTATCACAAGTAAATAAGAATATGTGTTATTCTTTGGAATTGCCACCTTTTCTCGATACAATTATTCACAAGCAATCTTATTCTACAAATTATCGATATCGCCGTGTTGAGATAAGATAAAGTGTATTTGCCTTCGAATTTACTATTGTCGAAATGCAAGATAAGGGTAATTCGTCAAAACATTTGATTAAAGTTGTGTTTTCATTTAATTTCATAGCTAAAGCAGAAGAAACGACATGGACTAGGATCGGATTAAATAAAATATTTTACAAGAAGCACGATGAGGTCACTGTTAGTTGTAGCTGTGAAGGCCCAGAACTTTGCACAAACATTGAGTGGACTTATATGAATCTGGATGGAATGTATAGCAAGAAGAGACTAGATAATTATACACTTGTGACTGAGGAGTCTGCTGAGAAGAAAATAGAACAAGTGCGCTTTGAAGCTACAGAGTCATTCACGATTTCATGTACTTTCTTCTTCCCAACCTATGACCCTAACACAATAACTAAATACGCCTACGTGAGCAATTTGGATGAAATAATGAAGATAGAAGTACTTCCTAATCCTATATTGGCCAAGGGAGAAACACTAGAGCTTTCTTGTATAGCTGACAAAGTTCTCTTCCACTCAGTTAACTGGTTTAAGAACAATGAGTTGATAATTGTGAAGAACAGAACAAGTTTTTCTTTAGTGGAAACTCTCAAAACAAATGAAACAATTTTAAAAATTACGGATATTGAAAGGGAAGAATCAGGAAAGTTCGAATGTCGAGCAGAAGGAAAAGAAAGTATTTTCAATGGCCAAAAATATCAACAAAATAGATCTGTTAATATACTTGTATTAGACTGGATTGCAAGATCAGCTGACCAGAAGATACTTAACAAAGCCTTGAACGAGTCAATGGAGTTTACTGAATTCAGTCGGATTATCGAAAAAACATCAGACAGAATTGATAATGAGGCTGAGAAGCCTCAAACTTCAATACAAATTTCTACAATAGTTGTAATCGTTGTAATACTCGTGCTACTATTAATAATACTAGGAATTGCTGCCTTCTTTATTTTGAGAAGAGTTTTAAAGAAAAACACACAAAATGCATATGATAATCGTACATACGAATTAATAGAATGTGAACAAACGCCAATAAGTTACAAACATCCAGATATTATTCCTGGGCCAGAAGATGCCGAAAGCTCTTCTCAACGACACACAAACACAGTGAGTACAACGCTCGAAATGGATTCCATTGATTGGCTTCTATATAGACAGTCATCACTAATTAAAACAAAGAGTCGTGCTGCAATTTATGGAAAAGACTTTTCCGATAAAAATGAAGGAATAGACAATGCAAATGTGGAAGATATTCGCAGTGTGACGAGTGAAGAACCAATAAAATCCTATTCAAACTACATTCGAAGATCAGCAGCAATTTTGCAGCGAGCAAAGAGTATCGGGATCAAAAGCCAAGTTCTGGATGAATACAAAGATCTTTGCATGAAGTATGAGTTTCCCATGAGAAACCTTAAGTTTGTTCAGGATTTGGGCTCAGGTGCTTTTGGGTACGTGAAGTTAGCGTACGCTGATGGCTTGATTCCGGGAGAAAAAACTGCAGTCGCCGTAAAAGGCACAAAAGGCGATGACAAGAAAATGAAAGAAGCTCTTCTGGCTGAGATTAAAGTCATGGTGCACATTGGCTTGCACAAAAATGTCGTGAATCTTCTAGGGATTCTCACAGTGAATATCAATAAAGGTTAGTTTGAAGAAAATCTAATTCTTAGCTTGAGAAAAGTATAGAAGAAATTATTTGTTCTCAGGTGAATTCATGATTATGGTAGAATATTGTGCACTTGGGAATATCCGTGATTATTTAAGAGAAAATAAGACGCTGTTTTTCAATGACAATCCTTCTGAATCTGGATCTCTTCCGCTCTTAATGGACCATCAAGCAACGTATGTATAATATGTCCAATTGTAAAATTGGAAACATAAAGAATGCTTGATTTTTCAGCAAGTTGACAATGCCTGAACTGCTAAGTTGGTCTTTCCAAGTTACACGAGGAATGGATTTCCTGGCATCCAAGAGAGTCATCCATGGCGACTTGGCTGCAAGAAACATTCTTCTCTGTCACGATAATTTCGTCAAGATTTGCGACTTTGGTCTGGCTCGATTTAAGCAGGAAAATAATTTATACAAAAAGCGAAGCAGCGCTCCTCTGCCCTTCAAGTGGATTGCATTGGAGTCGATTGAGGATGGCATTTTCAGCACTTACTCAGATATTTGGTCCTTTGGCGTTGTTTTGTGGGAAATCTTCTCATTCGGCGAAGAACCTTATCCAGAAATTAAACTAACAGATATCTGCATGAAGCTCAAAACTGGATACAGAATGAACAAACCTCAACATGCTAATCAAGCATTGTAAGTTAAATTTATTTATTTTGTGATAAATTATTATACAGAACGCAAGGCATACATTGAACTTAAATTCATTGAACAGGTACAACATTATGTTGAATTGTTGGAGTGAAAATCCACAAGAAAGACCACAATTTGGTGAATTGGAACTAAAGCTTGGGAAATTGTTGAACAAGATGCAAAGATATTTGGTCGTGTCATCAAATGAGCCCTACGTGATTATTAATAGAGGAGTGGAGCAGCATTTAGGAATCGTAGGTTAATTTACATGTTAAGTACTGAACTAAATTGTACCTCGAAAGCGTTGAAAAATTCTGACAAAATAAGAAAGTATAAAAAATATTGACACCGTTTGTTCACTTTAATCGATTTAGGATCAAGTCAAAATCTATCTTTATCGCACAGCATTCGATAATGACCCTGACTCTGTTCGGATGCGAAGTGATATGAAATCTCTGGAGAATGTCTAAGTGATGCTAATTGAATTAGAAACGCCCATATTCAATTGAGTAACATCGGCGACAGGGCTCGAGTGTTGCGGCTTTTCTCTCTCGTGTAGACTGAAGTGGACACTTTGGCTGAGAAATGTACTATTTCAATAAAATTACATCGAAAAACGATAAGGAAGGCAGCTTTATTTTGGAAACCGGCAGAAGCATGGAAAATTTCCTCCAAGACAGCGCCAAGTTGTTCTCAAAAGTGAGTGAGTTGCGAATTTCTTGTGCAAATTGCGTTATCAAGTTATCAATTATCGAGAAGTGTGAGGAGGACAGGTTTTTGGATTCTGAGGAATCATTTGGCGCTGAAAAGCTTTTCAAAGAAATCGGAAAAGCCGAAGCCAAATCGGGCAACTTCGCGTGGAACTTGACCATCTTTGACGTCCAGATTTAATGCCGTGTTGTCAAATAGGAAATTAGATTACCCCCAGTTTTTCTCTATTTTTATACGGAAATTTAGGAAAATGATGGTAAGTTTCCTGCGAATTGACGAAATAGAAGTTCCAGGAACCGGATTAAAGTGGAAATGCGCGAGTTTTTGCTGTGTAAATTTAGTTTTGGAGGCGTTTTCGTGACTCTTCAAACTTTTTAGTACAGACTTTGTCCGGAAGTTTTGTCTAATTGGGATGGATTTCTTTTGTGGTCAGGACGGAGCTGATGACAATGGGAGTCCCCAGAAGGAGTCCAGCGTGGCTGAAGCAGCGCCCTCGTCACAGGAATCTGTGATTCCTCTGGCAGACGACAACCTTCTGGTGGACATTTCGGATGCCCTGAGCGAGAAGGATCGCGTCAAGTTCACAGTCCACACCCGGACTTCCTTGCCCGGCTATGCCAAATCCGACTTTTGCGTGGTGCGTCAGCACGAGGAGTTTGTCTGGCTGCACGATCGCTTCGAGGAGAATGAGGAATACGCGGGATATATCGTAAGGACGTCCGCCGGCAGGCGTGAAGAGAGATGTTCAGGTGTTTCTGTCTTTCAGATTCCACCGTGTCCGCCCAGACCGGACTTCGATGCGTCCAGGGAGAAGCTGCAGCGCCTGGGCGAGGGCGAGGGCAACATGACGAAGGAGGAGTTCAAGAAGATGAAGCAGGAGCTCGAGGCGGAGTATTTGGCCACATTCAAAAAGACTGTCGCGATGCATGAAGTGTTCCTCACGCGCCTCACGAGTCACTCGGTATTTCGCAAGGACCAACATCTGAAGGTGTTCCTGGAGTACGATCAGGATCTGTGCGCGAAGCCGCGCAAGAAGATGGACCTCCTGGGCGGTCTGGTGCGCAGCCTGGGCAAGACCACGGACGAACTGTATCTCGGTGCTACGGTGCGGGATGTGAATGACTTCTTCGAGAAGGAGCTCCAGTTTCTCACCGACTACCACACGCAGCTCAAGGAGGCCGCCATGCGGACGGAGAAGATGACGAAGAAGCACAAGGAGGTGGCGGACACGCACATCCGCATCTCCTCGTCGCTCCTCGAGCTCTCCACCGCCGAGGCAGGCAGTATGGAGAAGTTCCTCGCCAAAGTCGCCGAAGTGTTCGAGAAGATTCGCGTAAGTAACTCCAATTTCCACGCCGATCTTCTTTATCAATTGCGCACTTGTTTGCAGAACATGGAAGGACGCGTGTCCAGCGACCAAGACCTGAAGCTGGGCGACACTTTGCGCTACTATCAGCGCGACAGTCACGCTGCCAAGGCGCTGCTAATCCGTCGTCTTCGCTGCTTGGCGGCCTACGAGGCGGCTAACAGGAATCTCGAGCGCGCTCGAGCCAAGAACAAGGACGTCCACGCGGTGAGTATGAATTGAGAGAAATCAGACAAAAGAAAAAACAGAGCACTTAAGCACATTTATTGACTGACACAATGCAGCCTCTGGAAGTGCAAGAGGTAAAGAAATTGCTACACTTCATCTCGAGACACGCAAAACCGGAAGGAACAAGTATTGCAATGTGAACCTTTTCTAATGCATTCTCGTGTGCTTTCTTGGCTTCCAGGCGGAAAATGCTCAGACGCAGGCTTGCCAGAAGTTCGAGACGATGTCGGCGCATGGGAAGCAGGAGTTGGTGGGTTTCCGGGCGCGTCGCGTGGCCGCCTTCAAGAAGAGTCTCATCGAAATGGCCGAGCTTGAGGGGAAACATGCCAAGACGCAGTACGAATTTCTCCGTCAGAGCCTCCTGTCGCTCAAGGATGCCTGAAGATCACACAGGACAAATACCATTTACACGATTATTCCCAGACTTTTTGTTGATTTATATACTTTTTTTGTGAGAAAAGACACACCATTTCTTGGCGGATTTTTCGTTCTTTATCGCGCATTTATTGCATTCAAAAAATATCACAATGAATTCCATTCACGTATGAATTAAAAGAGAATTAATGTATTTTGAATACTATATTCGTACGCATTATATTTGGAAATATATATATTATCTATACAATAAATATTTGTACATGGAAGAGTACATTTTTCGCTGATAAACACCTGATAAATGAATCAGTCTTCAAGTTTGCGATGAACAGTGTTTCTCTTACAGTTAAGAGACTTCTTTCTCCGCGCTTTTTGTAGTTCCGCTGGCAGATTTTAGCACAAGAGCGGCGCTGTCGTCCGCTGAGAGGTGTTGAAATTCAGTGACAGCTCGAGAGTGCAAAAATTTTCAAAGGAGTTTTTCTTGTGGAGAAAATTGTGAAATTACGTGGTAAATGTGCAGTATTGCAGAGGAAAAATGTAAGAAATCCGTTCTACACCCCCTCATTGGGAGATAATTGCAGAAATGCGATGCGAAAGGGGTTTGAAAGTTGGGGAAAATTGTTGGGTTCAGAAGACGATGAGATGATTGGTGGGTTTTTCCAAATTTCCCTAATGATTTTCCACCGCCGCGGCGTATTTACGTAATCCCCGCGAGATTGATCGCTATCTCAGGCGATAAGGAGACACAATGGTGTCTGCGTTCGCTGTGGAAAAGTGCCGTGCGAGTGATTTTTCACCCACTCCGACTTTCTTCGCAGTTGATTTGTCGTCCGGAGCAGGCGGAGCACAGTAATGGAGACGTCGAGAAAATACCAAGTCAGCCCGTATGATCCCAACTTCAGCTCGGCCGCCCGGTACTCGCCACCCTTCTCGGCGGCCAACTCCACGCCCGCCTACAACAACGTCATCTTCGTCCAGACGCCGGAAGCGCCGGATGGCAATCTGCTGGGCGTGATGGGCAGCGAGGCGGGCCTCCAGCAGCGCCTCATCGATCCGGCCCAGACGTACATCCTGTCCTCCACCAGCACCCGCGTGCTCAATACCTACGTGCGCGCCGCGAGCGAGCCGGGACAGGCGGAGGGACACTACGCAAACCACCCAAATGCTGGCCAAATGGGTGGCGAGATGGCGGTGGCGCCCGGCCAGGAGGCCTACCACATGCCCGTGACCTCATGCGGCGAGACTTACATGGACACGAAGCCTCAAATCATCCTGCACAGAGACACAACTGGCAGATTCTACCAAGAGGTGCCCAACGGGATGCTGCAGGCGCACGAGGAGGGAGCAGGGAATGTCGTTGAGCTGGTCTCGGGCCTGCAGGACATCGCGCCGGATCCCATGAACAACTACGAACAGCAGTACAACGGATATGACGCCTCGGGATGCCTCGTGGATCAGAATGACGGCATGATGGTGGTCAATAATGGTGAGTTTGCTGGACAAACAAGCTGTAATTCCGGGCGCTATTCACACTTCCCTTTACAGAAGCGGAGCGAATTGAGTTGCTGGTGAACAATGAACTGTCGGATTATGGGTATAAGAATCAGAACACCAACATCATGGTCAATCAGTCTGGCAGCAACTATTCGATGGTGGAACAGCCTGGAATGCTTCAGCAGCAGAATCACGTGGAAAAACATCCATCGCAGGAGAGGCTTTTCCTGCACAGCAGCATGTCCCCTCTATGTAAGACAGCACGAAATCTATCACGTCTTGGATATTTACTATGATTTGCACTTGCAGTGGCTGCTGTCAACGACATCACCAGTCGCGAAGAGCCTCACTTGTTGCCGGATTTCCTGCTGCAGCAGCACCAGATGTCCGGGAGTGCGACTAATGTGAAGGCAGGCGATCAGGAGGCTTCCTATGACAGCAATCACAATGGCTCTGATTCTGTGTCAATGGATATTGACTTGAATGACGGGAAGATTCTGCTGGACTTTGCCAACAGTCAGGAGAGGGATTTGTCGTACAAGAACAACCTGAAGATTGTCAGTGTGTCATCTCTGTCGGACGAATATGTGGACATCAATGATGTGAAGAGCATCAATGAGAAGTACTGCGTCTTCTCCGGCGATGAGAAATACCAACAAGAGGATTCTTTTTCGGCAAAATCATCTCTTCGGAAGTCTCAGAGGAAGATTCAGAAAGACGGATGTTGTGAGTGATAGAGATTTATTGGAGTTTTCTAGTGATTTATTGTGTGATTTTGTGGGTTTCCTTGCAGTGTTGGTTGCTGATAAACACGTTCCTTGTCGCGCCTGGGCGAGTCTGCCAACATCTTACTTGTACATTGCAAAATCACCCAAATATCCAACTGGTGAGTCATCTCTGCTGTCTTGTGACTTTTCTAGAGCCCACAAGAACGATGTTCTTCAATCCTGAGCCGTAAACTGTGCTTTCTGGTAGACCAAGACGATCTCGTGGGGCCAATGATGGGATGACACCAATAGGATAAACATTCTCATGGAAATACTTGCTTTTGGGAACTGTAAAACAGCTTCCAGTCTCTGGGAATCTATTCTCAATGGGCATTTTAAATTGCGGAGGGATTTTGTTGAGTGAATCAATCATTCTATTGGGTTTGACTTCAGGGAATTCCTTCAAACCGTATCCTTTACATGTTTTGGGATAGTGAAGCCAATCCCACACCGTAATGTTATCCTTCTGGGTGATTTTCACCTCCTCAGGAGCACTGAAGAGGGAGTAATCGAGGGTTTGGGTGGATAAATAGGGATCTAGGGATTTGTGGTAAGATGAATCATTGACGTATCCTCGGAATATGGGCTTAAGAGGTCTGCTTGCACACATTTTACCCTCCTTAGCATCCGCTTCGGGGAGGTTTTTCTGCGTAAAATCTTGCCTCTGGATTGTCTGGTATTCGTCAATGGCACTAACAGGCCTTAATCTCGTCTTTTCATCGAAACTCCTCATAAAATCCACCCGATGTAATCTCATCGGGAGATTATATTTAGTATTCTCCAACCGCTCGCTGTACTTCCAGTCGTGAAATCGATTATATTGCGTGCCATAATCGTAACCGTGACTCTTGCCACGGGCAATAAACGCGCGATGGCCGGGAATGGTGACCGCGGAGCCATGAGCGGGGCGCAGCGAGTGTCCGTGGTGTGCGGCTGACCTGTAGTCGGTGTTGCTGTACAGGATGGGATGTCTGTAATCTGAGAAATTGTACACATTTCGATTTTTCACAATCATCCCGCGCACTCGGGCAGGAAGTAGACTTCGCGTGATTCCCTCTCTATATTTATTGATTTGTTTATTGTGGGTTGCCTGAGTAACGGACACTAATTGGTGTTTGTTTTTGTTGCCGCTATGCAGAATACAGCGTCTTTTCCAAGAAGGACATACCGCTGCGTACGAAATTTGGCCCCTTCGAGGGTGACCTTCGCGAGGTTGGCGAGGAGGAAGTTCGTCATCTCAAGGCTGACTCGCCAAAGCACTATCCTCTGCTGCTAATCGATGGAAAGATGGTTCTAGAGACGGGAAATGAGAGTGAGTTGAGAAATACAGAGAGAAAGTTTTCGTATTTGCTGAACTCTTGTTTGTTTTTACAGATACGTCTAATTGGATGCGTTTTGTTCGCTTTGCCGATGACTTTAAGCAGCAGAATCTCTTGCTCTTCGAGAGTGAGGGAAAGTTGTTCTTCAAGAGTTGTCAATTCATCAGATCGAAGCAGGAATTGAAGGTGGGCTACAGTCGAGAGTATGCAGAGAAGTATGGATTGTCTGTGTTGATTCCGGACAGCAAGCAGGAGAATACTTGGCCATGTTTTGAGTGTGATGACAAGTTTCCCAACTCAGAGGCGCTGCAAGATCATCTCAATCAGCACGATGATGTGTGCGATGAGAAGAAGAGTGTGCAGAAGAAGCGAAAGAAGCCTCTTGGGGGCAACAAAGTGGCCTGTCCGGTGTGTCTTAAGCTCTTCTTGAGATCTTCGCTACGCTTGAGACAACACATGCAAACCCACTCGGGACATCCGCTGGCGGAGAAGAGTCTCAGCGATTGTGGCAATAACAAGATCGATCGAGGGCGCAGAATTGATGGTATTAAGGAGACTTTGAAGGAGGATTCCAAGCAGTTTCTCAACAACAAGGAGAACAAGGACACTTTTCACAAGTTCAAGTGCTCCACTTGTCCAAAATCCTTCCCAACAGCTGAGAGATTAGCGGTGAGTTGTCTTCCCAAGACGTCCCCGGAAGCCACTTAATTATCTTCTTTTGTACTTTACAGCGTCACAACCTCGTTCATGGCTCTAATGAATCCAGACCTCTTCGCTGCTCTCATTGTCCGAAGCGCTTTGTCACCTCTTCCGCACTTGCTGTGCATGTGAAGATGCATCTCAACCCTAAACGCTTGATTGTTTGTCCGATGTGCACGGAGGCCTTCAAACATGGCCTGGTGTTTAAGTTGCACGTGAGATCTCATCTGGAAAATGGGGTGTACACATGCAAGTTCTGCCAGAAGAAGTTTAAGGAGTACAAAATCATCAGGAAGCACATCAGGACCTTCCATTCGGCCACAAAGCATCCATGTCAGCAGTGTGGCAAGCAATTTCCAACGCTGAGCAAGCTTCAAATGCATCTCCTTAGGCATTCGGATCATCGGGAGTTTCTCTGTTCGGAGTGTGGAAAGCAGTTTAAGCGGAAGGACAAGCTGAGGGAGCACATGAAGAGATCACACTCGGATGAGGCGAAGGCGAAGAAGGAGAAGATGGTGGAAAGATCTCCGGCTAATGATTCCCCAGTCGATGGACAGAATTGCAAGGAGGAAATGTCCGAAGGTGAAGCTGCGAAGAACAATGGTGAGGAGAGTCCGAAGAAGAAGTTTTCACCGAAAGTGTCTCCCAATGACTATCAGCGCTTCATCTACAAGTGTCACGATTGTCTGGTGGGATTCAAGAGACGCGGAATGCTGGTGAATCATCTGGCCAAGAGGCATCCAATGGTGCCGATTGACTCTGTGCCGGAACTCAATTTGCCCATCTTGAAGGATCAGAAGTTCTACTACTGTCAATACTGTGAGAAGGTGTACAAGAGCAATTCCAAGCGGAAGGCACACATTCTGAAGAATCATCCGGGATTGGAATTGCCAATGTCGAGTCGCATCAAGGGAAGTTGTCCGGATGTGGGAGGATTCTCCAATTTGACGTACTCACAAACTGTCGGCAGCATTACGACTCATCCGCAGGTAAGAATTGTGCTGTTGTTTGCTTATCATGGCCTTTTAACACTGTTTTTCTGTGAATTTTAGGGCTGCGCGTGGTGTCACAAGCAGTACGCCTCGAAGGCGAAGCTTCTGCAGCATCAGCGCAAGAAGCATCCTGAGCACATCAAGGAGATCGAGTTGTCCGCCCACTCGGCCTCCATCATCATTCACAAGAGCGACCAGCAAGTGTCCTTCGACAGTCCCACGGGCTTCGAGAACAACAACTCGCAGTTCGACGATCAATTGGCCGTGGTGTCGGACACTGTGGACTATGAGAACTACTCGCCGGACGGCGGAAACTACCTGGCGGCGTCGGAGGAGAGCAAGTTGATCAAGATCTGTCCTTACGACGCCGAGCTGGTGGAGCAGAAGGATGTGGGAAGTCTGTCAAAGATCGACGTGAGTCTGAAGGTTGTGGGCGGTGAGTTTGTGGGCGACGCCTCATCGGCGGGCTCTGGGGACTCGAATGGCGATTTGTCGCGATTGCCGGAGTTATTCGAGGAGATTGAGTACATGCAGATGAAGCCGGTGATTCTGGCAACGGACATTGAGCAGATGCCGCCGATCAATGGGCGGCACAAGCTGAATTCCACCAGCGGATACTCACAGAGTGCCGGCTGAGGGTGAGCGGAGGGTCGTTTTTGTGGCACTCAATCTCACAGCATGGAAATCTAGTCAATGGATCTTTGTTGATTGTCCAGATGCAACAATTTGTCTTTGGGTGGTGAAAAATCCCGCGAAATCCTCGACAGTGGGAGGGATTGGATCCACAAAAAAAAATATTTTGCAATTATTTGTTGTCTCGCGTGGACACACAGACACTTGGCATTGTTTTTGGAGTCCAAGAGCGTCCATGAGACTGATAAATTTGTCCAGGTTTGACTTTCTTCTCTGTGGTGGAGAAGAAGCAAATCGATGAGATTTGTAAGATTTTTGCTTTGCTGAAAAATGCACGCACTTTTTGTGAAAAGAAAAAAAATAAGAAGAAGTGAAAAGCAAAATTCCCAGAAATTGGCAAAAGTAGCGAAAGAGAGAGAGAGAGAAATCGTAATTTTTTTCCATAATGATAAAATGTGGAGAGTTTTTTTGTGCATTAAAGGAAGTCCGTGAAAAGTATTTTTATTGCCCAGCGACAAGTCATTGGGCTTTTTGTCTCGAGTGTTTGAGTGAGTCTCTCTCAAGTGGGTTTTTGGCGATTTATTTTGACTGAAGAGACAGTGAAAAAGCTCTCTCAGTGTTGATGATGAAGAAAAAAACAAGAGTAAATAAACTACATTTTAGTGAAATTTTGTCTCGTTAGACGAGTGATGGGGAAAATATGTATGTATAAGTTTATTTTGGTGAAAAATTGTCGCTTTTCGCCTTCAGAATCAGAGCTGAAGATTGCGAGATGATAAGAATTACAAACAACACATGCTTAAGTAAGATTGATCAAATTCTTATGCATCGAGATATTTCTAGGGAAAATAGATGAAGAAAAAAAAAGGTAGTTTTATTCGCACATTTGAAAAGAGAATTGTAGGAATTAGTGGATTTTTGAAAGTCACTTTAAAAGCAATATTTAGGAGCTTTTTTTCCTCACGACAAAGAAAAAGAGAAGATGAAAAAGACCTCGTTTTTTGTGTAGTGTTTGTACAAAAATCCAGGGAAAAAGAACCAAGTTTTATTTCCGTTTTATAAGGCAGTCGAATTATGTGGCGTGACGCGAACAGATGCAATAAAATGCGGCGTTGAGATTGTGATAAAATGTGCTCTGAAGATTGTTGAGGAGCGCATATAAGATTGATTTTTGGTCAGGTGACATTTAACATTTGCGAATGAGAGTCTCCATAACAATAAAACTCTGTATAACTTGTCCTCTAGTGCCTCTATAAACTTGTATTTTTATCAATTAATTTGTTAATCAATATGGGGAAGGAATGCATTGTGTGTAGTTTTAGTGGTTGAAGAGATAGAGAAAGTCACAATTTGAGTCATGGATTGTCTCACGAATATTTTGATGAAGCGCCAAGATATTTCGCTTAAACAATGTGTTTGATTTCCTTCTTATAAAATCTATAAGACACACAGACACACATTTGTAGGCAAAGAAGGTGAGGAGGTAAATAGTGAGCAATGTGAGGAGAAATGATAGTAGAGAGATAATAAACTATATAGCAATAAGCGTGGTGTATTATTCAATTGGACTTCACTTCTCTAAATGATGATCTTGTGCGGAATTTTGCTGCGAGATGCCTAAAACGGGTTGTCTTTCCGGGAGACGGAGAGACCAGTTTCGCTGTCCCACCAGGCGCTCATGTTTGGATGCAATTGCACGATTCACAGTGAGGCGCCAAAGTGGTCCAGCACGCAACTTTGTCTCTCAATGAAGTTGAAAATGTGGATTTTCATTTGAATTTATAAATCCGGATGTCTTGTTTACGATATAAACAGTCTTAATGCTGACAAAACGCAATAAAGAGGAAATTTTTCAAGGAATTCTCGGGATTTTCCAATGAAATGATCAGCTGGAATCGCCAGAAGAACTCCACAAGATTATTTACTTCCTTTAACACTGATAATAAATACATTTTTTAAAAATACATTCGTTGGACGCTTTTGCCTCTCACTGTGTATTAAATAACGCATCAATTCGACAGAAAGTAAAATTTCTTCCACTTCTTCATCTGATGTCGCCTCGCCATTAGACTGACACTCGCGACATGGCGCACAAGTGAGTATCCACAATCGTTCACTCCTTCAGTGTCTGCGCCGCTCCTGGCCCCCCTCATCAGCCCATCTCCACTTCTAGGCTCATCCTCCTGGGCATTCTCCTGCTGGGCTCGCTGTACTGCCTTCATCTGCTGGCGCAGGACTACCAGAAGATCCGCCGTCCCGTGCAGACGGCAGCCAAGGTGGCGGCCAAGGCGCTCGGTCTGGACTTCCTGGCCGGCCGGAGACGTCGCGCCGTGGATGAGGTGAGCAAAGCCACCCCCGCCCAATTATCGCACACTTGGACTACTTTTCTCACTCTTCCGTGCCACTGCACTTCGGCAGCCTCCGGCGATTGACTGGGAGACTCTCTTGAGACACGATCCGCTCCTCTGCGCGTCGTCGCTCGTGTGCCAGCTGGCCGCGGGCGCTGCCGTGGACTTCGACGAGGGCGTCGCCATTAAGAACTTCATACTGTGAGCGAGTCACAATCAATTATAGGTGGTGAGCTGCAATTAAATGCACTTTGCCGCCTCCTTTCAGCGCCAATGCCAACGACTCGGCCCCGGAGAAAGTGAAAAAGGCGCGAGATCTCGGCCGCCGCGCGAGTGGCGCCAAAGAGTGCTTCCAGAAATTCAACTTCTGCCCCTATTCGGCCAAGACGATGCTGCGAATTGTCCACTTGCAGACGACTTTACTCAGTTAAGTGCCATTCTCTTCCTCCCACACAATAAAGTGCGTTGAGTTTTCAAAAATTCCAATTCCCACGACTTTTCTTCAGAGCCGCAATGTAGGCAAAAGGGGGGATTTTGGCGGGAGAATACCAGCATGCGTGTATTGTGCGTACCGGATAAATATGGCGAATAAGATTCTTTTCTCGCTAGATTATTTTTACTTCTCGTCTAACACGAATTAAACGTATAGGATTCTTATATTTTATGTAGATTTCGCCCAAATTCATCATTTCCTTTGCTCATTTTGAGTGTAAAAATTCTCCAAATATAATTACGCGTAGAAAAGTCAGGCTGTCAAATTGACACGAAGTCAACAAAACAAGTTTTCACAATTTCCACCGAAAAGATGCAGTTTCGCGTGAATGGTGAGAGTGATCCTGGAGATGGAGATCCCGGCAGTATCCTGCCCGCCGGCGGAACCAACTTCTACCAGCAGAACACCAGCGACGACAGTGACAACGAGCAGGAGATGTACGAGGGCTACGAGCCCCTCAACGGCGACGCCCCCAATATCGAGGTCTGGGACAATCTGGCAGACTCTGAAGACATCCCCATGGCCGACAGCACCCCCCCAGCTGACGTTCCTGCCATCGAGACGGTGGATTCGGAGGTGCAGCGAGAGATCTGGAACGCTCCACGTCCGGACGACTTGACAATCGACCTCGACGGAGACAAAGAGCGCCAGATAATGAATGTCATGGCGGGATTCTCGCTCCCGGCCACGGCCATTCCCGCCTGGGCGCAGGGAGTGTCCGAGAAGGACTGGAAGGACGATCTGCTGAAGCGGATACGCGACAGGAAAACTCAGTGAGTGTTGTAAAATAGGCTGTATTAAATTGTTAAGGGATGAAGTGATTGAATTTTCACACGCCGAGAGTCACGCAGAAATCCCTGGAGCACCCAATCAGCTTCTCCGCTCCACTCTCCCTCGAGAGCGCCTTGATTTTGTCCACCACGGCGTCCACTGACATGACGAGAGCCAATATTTCCTGGCCAACGGGCGTGCACGTGAGGTTTCCCAGCGCCTGGAGGCATCTGTAAACCGCTTCTCTGTCCTCAATCCACTGCATCGTCTCCAGAGAGCACTCCCCGAGGATCTTGCACTCGTCGGCATTCGCCAGACTCATCTGGGTCACAGTTGCGTTGAGGAGAAACGTGGCGACAGCCACTTGGGCATTCACACTCCCCTTCCGGATCTCACTGATCCTGCCGAGAATCTCTCCCAGACGACTGTGGACAACGTCTCGGCCCGCCTGATGCGCCAGCATGTTGGCCAGACTCCTGAGCGCCATCAGTTGATTCGCCGCCGAGTCACTGATGCACTCCACCAGCGTCTTCGTCATCTCAGTCGTCATCAGCGTTCGGCAAGTCGCCTCATTTCGCACAGCGAGGCGCACGAGATCAAGCACAGGAAAGAGAATGCCGCGTGGCCAACTCAGGAGGCACTTGAGACTCTCAATCTGCGCCACAGGCGACTCTCCATCGCTCCTCGCCACGGCGATTGCATCACTGAGAACACTGTCGTTGACTTTCGTCTCATCCGGAGCGTTTTCCGAGTTGAAACTCCTGCAAATATGAATAATTTCTTAGTAAAATCATCACTTAACCGGGATGCAACTCACTTTAGCTTATTCAGGATCTTTTCCAGATCCGCTGTGGCCATCGTTGAATAGGCGCTGGTGGGAAAATGCTCTCCGGAATTGCTTTTCTCTGATTGCTGCGTTCTGTAGCTGGAGGCGCCCGTGAAGGGATCCAAGAGATTTCCTCCGCCAACATTATTCCCACCCCCACTGCCCGGAATATAGCGCGAGTCTCCCGTGAAGGGATCACTGAATGTGTTGTCCGAAGGCGCCACAGGAGCATTGCCGGAGTTTTTCACCACAAAATTGGCCACCTGATCCAGATACACTTGTGGCAGATTGTGCTTGTGGATGAACTCCTGCGCCACATACCACGGATCCTGGCCACGGTTGTAGGGCAGCTTTATCGGCGGCGCTCCATCTTCGACGTCCACACTGAAGACGTAGTCGTACTCTTTGCCTTGGTAGAGAGTCTTGCCAGAACTGGCATTTGTGCCTCCTGACGCTCCAGTCACGTCGCCCACGAGCTGCCAACTGCCACGAGTCCACTGAAAGCACTCAATCTTCCCATTTGGCTGTCGCACGATGCGCGTCTGGCCTTCCGTGCCCTCCATGTAGAGGGATTCCGGCCCAGGCAGATCATTCACCTTGATTCCCCCCAATTCAGCACTGTGTTCCTTCTGCCACACATCCACGGACGTCTGATAGGCGGCCAACACGTCCGCAGGCGCCATCCTAGCTGGATCCCTGGTGAAGATCCTCACAATTCCATCACTGGAGCCCGTCACAATGTCACCATTGCGAAGGCAAGCCACAGACCACACAGACTGTGCTGGTATGTGCATCTCCGATCCCAGAGCGCCCTCCGAGGCGCTCCACATCCTCAATGAGCTGTCCTCTCCGCCACTGACCAGCACATCTTCGCCCACATTGCGATTTAGGGCGATCGAATAGATGTAGTTGGAATGCCCGAACAGCTCATTGACGCACTCTCCCTCGTCATTCCACACCTTGATCACCGCATCATTGCCACAGCTCAGAAGGCCTCCGTTTCCCAGGCCAATCAATCCCCGGACGCAGTCTGTGTGGCCCTTGAGGACGAAGATCTTCACACCCGAAGCGTTCCACACGAAGATGTTCTTGTCCGCTGAGCCCGTGACGTATCTCTGGCCACAGGAGACGGACTCCACTGCCCAGACAGCCGCATCGTGGCCCTGGAGAGCCACAGAAGACACTGTGTTGGCGTCGGAAATCCTCCAAATCCTGCCCGTCTTGTCCCAACTGCCGGACACGATACTCCTGGGCTCCAGGCCCTTGCACAGGCAACTCACAGTGGCCGAGTGCTCCTTCAGTGTGTGCACAGGCACCAGAGATCCGGAGGTGTAAATGCAAATCGTCGAGTCATTGCTTCCTGTGCAGATCCACCCTTCGTCCTCCAGATAGAACACCACCGCCACGTAATTCGAGTGATTCTGCAGCGTCGCTCTCTCCTTGTACGAGTTGCTGTGCGAAATATGCACAAAAAGCGTGTCAGTGGAAGATTCTGGGACAAAAACAATATCAACTCACCCTTCCTTGGCCCACATTTTCACTTTCATGTCTCGCGAGCCTGAGAGGATAAAATCACTGCCCTCCGTCACGGATCGCACGTCCAAGGAGTGGCCACGCAACTCACAACTCAGCTTGTAGTCGTTGAGCGACATTTTGGCTGGATTTGTCGTATTTTCACCTGGAAAATGCAGAGCGAACAAAAACGCCGATTCAGCCTGTCAACGCACAAAGTGAGGTTATGCAGCAACCCAGCTGTAATTTTCCGTCGAATGAGATTCTTATTAGCACAGTAGAATTCTCGAATCTCTTCAGGATTCTCCTCCAATTAAGAAAATAAATGTTTTAAAGGTAGTCTCCGTTGATTTTCTCTGAATATTCGTCAGAAAATGCAGTGAAATTCAATAAATTACGCGGCGTCTTGAGTGGATACAGCACAGCGGAGAGCAATCATATGGGCGAGAGAGAGAGGCGCGTTATCGCGCCGCTCTCTCGAGAGGGGAAGTGCGAATGCACTTCGGGAGAGAGCGCATCGGCCGGAGCTGCGAGAAAATGTGCTCGGAGAGTCAGTTATCGCTGGTGCTTTGGTGAGTGTGGGTGGTTTTTCTGCGCTCAATTCCGCGCGCAATTGTCAACTCTCTGAGGCTGCGGAGTGGGGAAGAGCGTCGCCCCCAGAGCGCCTCCTCAGCAGAAGCGGGGGCTGAAAGTGTGGCAGGTGGTCGGTGTGCAATTCTCGCCCCGTCTTCCCCACATTGGGGGCGCATTCCTGGGACTCTTTGGGGCGCTCGCGGAGTCGCGAATAATAGGACGGTGTTTATTATTAGCCGCTTTTAGAGTCATTTATTTTGGTGTTTTTCTCACGATTTGAGTATTCTGGCCGGAGCTGGGAAAGCGCAACTGATACGCACCCGCGAGGAAATGACCCCGGACTGCGGCGGAATTTCCACAGAGGCTCCGTGAGAAAAGTGTGCGGCGGAGTCCCGGTGAAAGTTGAGAGGCGAAAGAGCGGAATTTGCAGAGTTTCCTGCCAAGGCAGGCAGAAATCGTTGCGATTGATAGCACAAAAGGTGAGTCTTTCGCCTGGGGCCTCTTCATTTCCGTGGAATTTTCACACAGAGAAAATTCGGATGGAACCCAGAGGCTTGGAAGAGGGATTTTAAGTTGATAAAACGCAATATTTTTAAAGAATAAATAAGAGAATTACTTGTAATTCGCAAGATATGCAAATTTTTTTGTTTAATTGTTCCTGTAAAGGAAATTTCTTTGAAGCTTGTCATCGAAATCTTGGAAATTCCTTATCTCACTTCTCTTATCGCGACTGCCAGCTGTTTTCTATTGAAGTGAGACATGAAAAAATACTTGAAGAATTGCTGTACGCATTGAATTTGAAACAGAAAGTCATTTCCGACACTTTTACGAGAGGCGCAGAGAAGGCGCGCGCGCTTTTTTGTATAATGAAATTTTCACTGAAGCGCGGGCGAATAAATGCACACACGCTGGCAAAAGGGAGGATCGCGTAATAACAGTCGTAAGAACTGAATTTGTATTAATAGATTACACGAGAGTCGCGCGGCCAAATTCACGTGGAAGCTCAATTGTGTTGAGATTCCGATGGAAATGCTGATTGTTTTCCCTCTGACGTGCTTCAACTTCTCACCTTTTCTCGCCATTGACACAATAGTCGAAATATTTGCATGAAAGTCTTGACAAATTTCACATCTCTTCTTCAGCTTTGTGTCTTATCAAGGGGAGGAATTTCTACTACAGATTTGACATGTTACTTGGCTCTTGTGTCTGAAGAGTTCAAGTATTTTTATCACCATATAAAATTTGTGCTATTTTGCTCGCTGTTATCGAGGAAGAGTGTGAGAAAATGTGATAATTGCTGAAATACTTGCCGAAATGACACTCTTTCACCATCAAATTCCATTTCAGATCCATTTTAATTTGCTGCATTTTTGCTTATAAAGCCATGAATTTTTCATGACCCTTCACAAGTTCACAATAACTGAGCTTTCTATATACATAAAAATGTGCACCAAACGAATAACAAAGGTAGGAAAATCTAGGGTTAAATTGAAAATATGTAGATTACTAAATTCCTAGCGAGCGACAAGGGGGAAATAATACGATCAGAAGTGGTGTACAGCTTAGCGGAAGTGTTGGGAAGTGAAAATGCTCAAAAACTTACAATATTCCTTTCCCAAATGCTTCTCTTTGATTGCTCCGCAAAAAACCATAATAATAATCCTTTTCTAGGTTACGTAGCAAATCAAGGACGGTTAGAAATATTAAGTAACTTCACAAGAAATCTAGAAATCAAATGGAAGTTTCACAAAGTTCAAAGATACATTCAGAGTTCTCGTTTCATCTCATTGGAATAGAGACTGATGAAGTCTTCATAGATTCTGATTGATTTCCTTGGTTTCTTTGAAATAATTTTCTCATGTACCGCAATGTTCTTCTGCCAAGAGCGAATTTCTTTGGCTACCTTTCAATTCCATTCATCTGAATGCGACATTGAACTGAAATTATCAGCATTCTGTTGGTTCTTGATCTGATTAGTCCGATCAGAGTTATAAGAGTCCTCTTCGGTGGCATGAAAACACAACTTGTTTACTCTTCTAATCTGTTCATCGGCTTTGACAAAAATGCGCGAACAGCGCGAATGGAAATGACCCAGTGGCGCGGGAATTGAATGAAAATCTACACCCAAAACCGCCCACTTGGCCGCCCCAACTTCACAATTTCGTGAAACTGTGGAAATAATTCAAAAGCTTAATTCCATTTTGGCATCGCGTTCCGGCCAAACTCACCCTTTTCCAATGCGAGAGCCTGACTTTGGTCCGTCAGCCAAGGCGTGGTGAGAGTGTGGAAAGGAGTCAGCTGTGTTTGGTATACATATACAAAATGTTTCTCTAGCCGTTTTTAATGAATAATGCATTTTAGACTTAATTTCGGCCTTATGTGCTCCGCAATGCGAGCTTTTTCACTCCCTTTGACCGCTTCTTCGACTCTTTCGCTCCGTGTATACAATATCACGGGACTCACACCCCCCGAGCGAGCCAGTGTACATTTCATTTGACTCCGTATCGCTGAAGCTCAGACATCGGTGAGGGTTGAATGGGTAAATTATGGGCGGTATTTCATTATTTTTCATTCGCTCGTCACCCATGAATTGACTTTTGGGGGCAAAACTATTTAGTGAAATTGAGTTGTTAGTGTTGATAACATGAGATTTTCAGCTCGGCAGGAGATCATTAAAAAAATATGCTTTGAAGGATATGATTTCCATATCAAATCCCGCCTGACATTTTGCCCGGCGCGATTCATTCGTGCCACAGTCAACTCCGTTGGGTATCAATTTTTCCCTGTTCAATTTCTCCGTGACATATCAAAATTACATCAAAATCATTTCAATGGGACAGAATTGAAGGAGGGTGGAATTTTTATTTCGTTGAACCGCACACGACGGTATGGAATTGTAATTAGAATCCACCTTTCGGGCTCTGTGGTCACAATTGCTGAATAAATGAATTCCAGAGGGAGTGAGAAATAAATCAAAACAGCCATCTCACCCAGTCAGGCGACCGACAAATACACGGAGGAAAGTGTATTGCTTAGCATTAGAATGGTGTGGCCTAGGGTGATCTTTTGTGTGCGCTCAGAACTCTCTCTCTGGGTGCAAGTAAACCCATTCGAAGCAATGTGAATTAGGAGATATTCACAATTTTGGGACAATGAGACCCTCGCACCCGCGTGGAATGGAATCTCACCCTCATTAATCATTCACTCCCATCTGACCAGAATGAGACAAATTTGGAGGAAATTAATGCGAGAGATGACGGAGAGACATCCCAAATTAGAATGGTTATGGCATTACTCTTTAATTTGCCGGAAATCCGAAAGCTGTGCAATGTGTTTGGGATTATTTACATTAACAACAATCATCCTGTTGGTGGTATACATAAACCCTTTTGTTTTGAGGAATAATTTTCAGGTCAGAAAAGGTCAAGGCATTACATTTTGCATATTCACGTCGCTTTAAATTCATCCCGCGCATATCAAATTGTGGCTTAAAGACGCGTTCTTCTGTGTGGAAGGAAAAATATATGCTTTTGAAATTTTGAAGACTTATACAAATGCTTCATTGTTTTTTCAAGCAGTCATAAAATTTTTCAGCAAAAATCGCACATGAGAAATCTTGAAACTCCTCAACGTCATTACTTATTTGAAAATCACCTCAAAGAGTCCAAACGTAAACACAAGCGCAACTGTGTGAAATTTTGCCTCGTGAAAGAACTCATCAAGGCATTCTGGGCATTTCTCTGGCGATGAAAATTGCAGTTTATTTTCTTTTTCCTCCATCTCAGCATTTTCACTGGCTCACATGGAGCCAAAGACGACCGGAGGAATCATGTATGAATGTGAATTTGATTGCATTGCCGCACAGAAAATGAGCAGCACAAGAGAAGCTTCACAAATACATTTGTGTGGTCGAGACTTTTCAAGATAAGGAAGTGCCCCATTATACAATATTCCTCCACTGAAATTGACTCTTTCACTGTGTCTTCAAATGATATTGTACAAATATTAACATTCACTTCGCACTACGTACTCATTTTCACTGGTGGTAACAGTGGCGGTATTCATGAGATTTTCCCCATCATTTCACCGTGTGCGGCTTTCCCATCTAATTTGGGCTAAAAGAAGAAAAAGGCGCCTCGAGGAATGCGCGAAGGTGGAGGAAAACAGTATTTCCAATTCTGATAAGAGACTCCAATACACCATCTAATCAACTTACAAGTGTATTCACCGAACACTTCACACACTGTTTATGTGATCCGGTCTGATTTGTTGCCGCTTTTTTCATGGCAATATTTAGATAAGCAATAATCGCGACACATATTCGCTAATTTCAACGTTTAATGTCCCCAGAGAGGTGATGATTCCGCAAATCACATAGCCTCGCTAAGTTCCTATTTTGAGTGGTGAGACAACTTCAGAAGGAGAGGCTAGAATGCACAATAAATGATTCATTGACGATGAGACATAAAGCTCCTTATCAATCAAGTAGATTACTCGGTAAATACACAAATTATACCAGATGGAAGAGTTGAAAACTCAATTTTCCTGTGTATATATAAGACTTTGAAATTTATAAATACTTCAACTTTATATCATAACATTTGAGAGCCAGTTTTGCCTTCAAAGGCAGATTGATAGATTATTTGCATGTCCGAGAGTGATTAATAGACTAGTTGATTATGCAAGAAATTCATTGAAATTAATTGAATAGTGGGTCATTTTAGAGAGACCCCGAAGACAATATAATATTGAAAACATATCGGGGGAAGTAATAGGCGGAGCATGAAAGTAGGCGGAGCATTCTCGTTACCGAGCAATATTTAAAAGAAATCTTTAAGCCCAAACTGATTGGGTTAAAGTATTCCTTGTCAATAAAAATGTGATGTGCGGAAAGAATGTTTAGTTCTAATCGTGCGACTGTAATTAAATATTCCCCAATTATGAGCAACAAGAACGATAAATTCTGAGGATTGACCATAACTTTTTTTTTATATAGTTGTAATTGACATCTTTATTGCTTAGACTGTTTTGGTATATTGTTGGTCATTTTTATGGATTTCCACATTTTTCACCTCATTCATTATTACAACCATAGTTTCATTATTATTATTACACTTTATCACCGCAAGATCATATACCTCGAGAGCTCATTGTTTATTGCTACCGTTTTGCTGCGTTTTCCATCGATAAATTCAATTAAACTCACCCATCGCAGCATTGAGTGCAGTGAGTGGGCGATTTTATTGTTGTCAGAGATTCAGAAGAGTTGAATGTAACCATTTTTCATGCGGGAGTAAACCCTGTAGCAGTGAAAAATGATCTGAAAAGTTCGTTAACGCTTGGAGAATTCCTCCTTTTTCTGTGAAAATAAATTGCTAAATCGTCCAAATTAGATAATACAAAGTGGATATCATTCACATTTTCTATTTACACTCAAGTGTTTGTTTTCTTTATGTAACATCGCGAGTTATAGAGTTGTGACTACAGAACACTCGCGCTTCTGTCTCCACCAGAGACTTACAGCACGAAATAATATTCTGAGCTGTGCCACACTAAATTGAGTGCTTTGCCCACTTTTTTCTCTCGTCGTTCAAGTGCAATATTCCACATGTGAAATAAATTTTCAAGGGGAGAAATTCTTTCGGGTGAGCAATTTATGAAAATGGAATAAAATTCGCATATATGTGAAAGTTACGCTTTTTTGCTATTAAACAACATTGGGTGGAGGGTTGAATAAAAAATATCTCTCTGTAAACGAATAATATAGAAAATTTTCCAAATGGGATTTTCTCATACTAAACCTTAAGCTTTCGGCTACAATGAAAGTTTGGGAGGCAAAAAAAAGTGGACCTGCTGGGTGTAAAAAAGTGAAGAAAAATCTCATTTTATTAATAAATTTCCACCACTTCGCATTTTATATGAATGCTGGGCGTGTGTGTGTACACGAGAATTTCGTTTGAGCAAGAAATTTTTGGTGTATGATGATAAAGAGGCATTTGAAATGTAATTTCATTTCGACACGACAGCAATAGCATAATTTGCCTTGAAACTGAACATGGCAAACGGTAGCATTGGTGGACGAATGGGGGGTGGCTTAAAGCTGAACCTTGTTGAGCTACACTCAACTTGTTCTGTGTTAACCTTTGGTGGTAATCAAACATATGATGTTGAGTGTCTGGGATTTGTTGTATACACAAGGAATAGGTTAATCAGTTTTTCCAGCTGGAAGCTTCACTTCAGGAGTCATTTTTGAAAATGAGCTTTTGATGGAGTCACAGTGAAATTTATTTACACTACATTTTTCATCATGATACGTGCACAGTGGTGTTCAACCCTCCTGTTCATGTCTTCGATTGAAGGACGTGTCTCCAGCGTTATTATCGTGCAAACATTGGATATATTGCCTGGCTAAGTTTACCGATAAGTTCTTTATTGATTTTGGCGGGAAAATGTCAATGTTCGTGAATTTGGTGTTGCTCCGCCCGCTGACTAGGATGGATACGCCAACATGCCGAATTGTTGCCATGTGTTTTGCCGTGGCTATGGTACATTGGGGAGACAAGGGAAATTGTCTGACGGGGAGAGAGAGAGCCTATTTTATTGCCTGGGCTGGGGAGAAGTGATGTTATGAGCAAGGATATGGGTTGCAACATGAAAATCGCTTGTGGAAAAGTGTGAGAGACGATTTATGTGTGTTTCGCAACTCAAAATTTCTTGTATATCACACAACACTTCCTCGTGCTGATGCTTGCCAACCACTTGGCTGCTATATTGTCAATAATTATGTGGCGGAATAGCGATGGTAATATTTGGAAGAATGGAGAATTTATGAGATGTGCGTGATGAGCTTGTTGCCTGTTGGATTGCGATTATTGATTTCGACAAAAAGTCCGCCACAAAGCATCAAACTTCCACCCTCAATGAATGGTAGGGGGATGAAAGTCGAGAAATTTATTGCCACTTCTGCAATCGATTGATATTTATTGCGGTTTTTCACCCCGTTCTCAAACCCCCTTTTTGGGTAGGGAAAAGATGACTTGCCTGTCCCCTCGAAAAAACCGTGAAATTGTCCCATACAAACAGGGTAGATAACATGAAAAGCTCGTTCCTAAACTTTTCCTCGTCGAGACAGCTTTACTACTGAAATATTTCTCATGACAAACATCCGTGGGATCTGCTTCGTGATGGGGATAACCGAGAAATCGATTACTTTGCCAAACACATAAATTTACATCTGTGACAGCCGTTGCGAAATGATAAAAGGATTTCTCAATTTACATGGGAAACACTTCATGACCAGAGAACACTCTGGGTTACAAGTATTGTCAATTTATTGTGTCCCTCGAATTGATGGGTGGCTCGTGGCCTAATAAGCGTGGCGGGAAGTTTCAATTTTCCGCTTTAACACCTGTAATCAAGTAGGATAAATTGGTGGATTGCTAATCAATAATCAAAACAACTTTGGCAGCACATTATTTATTTCCATAGTACACACGTTTGTTTGTCAATTTGGACAGTCTGAGGTGAGGAAGAAAGATTCTTGCCATGTTGTACATAGCAAATTGCTGGTGTTTCACTGTGCTACAATTACAGATTTCCCATGTTGTGTATTTTGGTTTCTGGGAGATGCCAATGATGTTGCTTTCCAAAGTGTTGCGGTTAATTAATTCAGAGAATCAACAATAATGTTTCTGTTTACATGCTCGACGCAAATTACTAGGGATTCTCCCTGTGGATAAAAAGCTATTCGTTTCTTTTCATTTTCACACTTTAACCGTGAATTTCATCCTCTTTTTATTAGCAATGGCGCATAAGAATAGCGGAAGCCGTAAAATTTTGTCGGTTGAGCTGTAATTTCATTTGGTACGCGCCAAAAGGCACCCCCACAATGCCACCCCGCTTTCCACTGGGGCGTCAAGATAACTATGTTGGAGAATTGTTGAATCACATAATGAATGAAATTTTACATGCCTGTGTTCTGGGTGGAAAGAAATTGTTATGTTGGTTGGGAAAACTTTTGGGCATTCCACCCCATTAGGCGGTTAGAGGTGTAAATTGGTTCCTTGTCGAAAACATACTGGCATAATTGGTGGCTCTAATGATTTAATTGAATTTGATTTACTTCCCGTCATGTCACAATGTTGGCGAGAATGGGTGGTAAAGTGAGTGACTTTGGCCATGAACTCGCGAAAATGAATGGAGGGGTTTTTGTCGAAGCGAAATTGCACCGTTTTATGGGTCTCGTGAAAGGGAAGAAATCACGCTATTTGGCAAAGAGTGGAAAAATCCACGGAAAATCGTGACTTTCCCTCGAAAGTGTATATTTCCCGCATATTTTAAATGCCTTTACAGTGCGGGTCGTAAAAGGGAAATGAGAGGATGTGATTTGCGGTGAAATTCCATGCAAATCAGTGATCGTATTGGAAAATGTAGTCTGAGCAAATGAATGGAAAGTGGACGTTTTATAATGAAGACCCATTGTCACAGCATGATTTCGATGGTAAAACTCTGTCTAAATCGACTTTCTTTCTTGTCTTCCTTTTCAATTCCACTTCCTTCGGCCGCACGACGCAGGAGGAGCAACGAAAGTGTGGCACTTTTGGTGGTGAAATGGCACCGAAGGGTGGCAGATAACATCGCAGGCGAATTGCACGGAAATGGGCTGTTGTGCATAGACAAAGGCTTACGGAAGGGTATTTGAACCTCACTGTCCATCGGAAACAATCGCCCTGGAGACTGAACTGCCCGTGATAGTTCCACCTCTCTCTACTCCACCGTATCAGCGACTCACTCAAGCACTCCAAAATGAACCGAGATTCGCAGAAGAGGTAAGAGAAACTGACTTTTTTCTTCTTCTCCAAAATACTAAGGTTTCGATGAGCTCAAGTTTCTACCATAAAAGTTTAGACTTGATCGAAACTATATTATTTGCTGTATTACAATTCTGTCGGGAAAGTTGAGTGTGGTATAAAGTTTAAAAGTTGGATGGGAAAAGCAATAGAAGTTGAAGACTTGCCAAGTCAAATTACGTTTATATAGCGCTTCAATTTCCAATTAGATACTTTGCGGAAAGGAGAAGTTTCTTAAATTATTGGCTAAGTAATCAAAATTTGATTATTTTTCATTGGAAAATCGATAAATGTATGTGAACTGTTATAAAATATAGTGGCGTTCGTGGAAATCTATTTGTTTGTGTAGTAAAGCAGAAGGTTATTATGAATATTTTGCAGAATGTGGCAAAAAATATACGAATATGAACTTCAGCAAATACCACTACAAAATGCTGAAATAGTTTCTATGCAAATTCAATGGATTGTGTAACCTGGAGCTTTCCATTCAAGAAGAAAATTTAATTATAAACTTTTTTCTTTGTAAATCACGATGAAGTATGGAGGAGAAAGAGTGATGAATATTAAAGTGTATACAAAGACTGCCGTCCTTAATCTGTTGGTTGGCCAAGCTATGAAAAATGAAATTCCAATTTGAGATAATTTCCTTCAGAAGCATCTCCTATCAATCTTCTGCTCGTTCGGGTTAAGAGGAGTCGATGAAAAAAGGGATTTTTTAATGTAATTTGAAAAGAGGGTACTTTAAAACCCATTTTCGATCGGAATCTTCTCTGCGCCCAGTAAACATGGCTCGCCGAGCTTCGCTGAAACGGAAGGCTTCTCAATGGTGATGTGGATTAATGGAATATTAGTCCTCCTTTCAGGGTTATGAGACTCTGTTGGGAGGGCAGAGGAGGTGGTGTTGAGCCTTCGCAGAGCGGAGAAGTCTGAACATGGAGGAACATGAGTAATTCGCGATGCATCGAAATTAAATGGTTGCGCACGTCATGGGTGCTTTCGTGCCAGAGGAATATCAAATCAAGGAAAGTGTTCACAAGTTTGCCGACAAAATACTCCTCGTCTCCAGTCGTGTTGGGGGTGTCCAGGTGGTTCAAAGTTTGTGGTCAAGGACGGCTATTGATTGCTCTGTGTGTGGAATCACTTACCTATTCTAGCATTCCGCCTTCCCAATAAAAATAGAGAGGCACACACGAACTCAAACCCTTCAATTTAGCGGACGATACCAATTTCTCATTCAACGCTGCTGGTTATTATTTTCATGTGGAAAACTTTCATGTAATATCCTTTCACTCCGGCTCTATCGTGGGAATTCAACACCAAAATAGATGTTATACGGAGAGAAAATGCTCATGGTCATCATTGAGTTCCATTTTCCCAACTATCCCATGTGAGTGGAGATGTGTTCTTGAACCCTCTCACACCCTCACGCCAGAGAGGATGGATATTGAGTGTTGGGTGAGAAAAAAACACCCTTCATCCCGAACTTTTTTCCACCCTTAGGAAGACATAGTGTCACAGTGGGTGGAAGTGAATGTCAATCAAGCTATGAGCCAACAGATTTTCTCCGGCCAGAGTCTGTGAAGCTTCTCAGTTTCTTCAAATTTATTTGAGTACACTTGAGAATAACTTACAGACAAGTTTCAGAGATAAAAGTTAGCAATGAACCATTAACAATCATTACAACTCTCTGGCTGCGGCGTGTGACTACTAAAATCTTTCTCACGGCTCAGATGTCCGCATTGTCAATAGTTTCGTTGGAAAGAAGTCTGATGGATGATCCAGAAAGTTTTACTTTCTTTCCCATCAGTTTCCTCGGGGAAGAAAAAAGGGAGAGTGAGAAGAAAGCACAAAAAATACGTAGTGGGAAATTTGATGAGATTTCCTCCACCCACTGAATGCTTATGGCTCGAATAAATCCCATCAGGAAGATGTTCTTGAGTAATTCCAGAAAATACTTTATGTTTTGCGGAAAATTTTCATCTTCAAGTCCCCTTTTCACTGGCATAAAGTATAAAAAGTCCTCGCCACACATCCCATTCGCAGCGCCAGGGATGAGATTTGATTTTATGGCTTAAAGCAAAGCGAAAAGTATTAAATATTTTGAGGTCTTATGTGAAAGTTATGAGAAAAATGGGAAAAATGTTTTGCGGTTTGCGATTAAAAGAAGGGAGGAGGAAGTGTATGTGCCGTGCTTTTGAAAGATATTTGGAGCGCTTTTGGAATATTACCATGTTAACATATATGGTTGATTTTCTTTTCAACTTTTTTCAATAAACATTTTAGAAGCTTACTTCTCGGTTGAAAATAGTCTCAATTCAGAGGCAATGGTTTTATTAGTGGATCTAACAATCGGACACAATTCATATGATTGGAGTTCTATCCAAAATCCTTAGTGTGTCAAGTTCCTTAGAACAGGCGAATATGGCGGAAATATATTGGAAAGCTTCTTGTATTGACACGTGTCAATCACTTTTCTTTTAATACATTTCGATAAAAAAATATATCATTTCCAATTGAATGTAATTTAAACTATGCGTAACTTTGTCTATGATATGGTAATTGTGAAAGTTATGAAACTTTAATGAATTTCAAGAGAGGCGACAGGCATGAAGCGAACGACGTCGCAGTGCGCAGCTGATCTCATCTTGAACCTCTTGAGGTTTCCTCACCATTGTGAATTGAATTAAAGCAGAATGAATATAATTATAGCAAAACTTTGCGAAGTGCACTTCATTATAAGCATGTGCAACTTATCCACATTGCATATTAATCTTCGCGAAAAGACTTCTTTCAGTTTAATCCTCGGAATGGAGTCTGAGCCGCTTACAGAGTGGTACAATATTGGAGAATTAAGCCGTTGAATAAACTAAAACCCGCAGTCAGAGTTTATTTAGCTGTAATAACTGAACCGTAAAGATGGGGTGGAAAATTATGAGAATGAATGTTTTTCAGGAGCAATATTTGATGGGGATTTTTGTGTGGAAATAGTCAAGGGGTGGCAGATTCTTCATTCTGTCATCCACTTTACCACCACAGATGGGTCGTTATGTAAGAAAATTCCCCGGGAAAATGACTGGGGTAATAAATGAATGGGGACAGTGACTGTAAAAGAATGAGGAAGTCATAATTTTTATAGGATTGCCAGCAAGAAGAAAGGTGTCGCATCGCATTTATACGGCACAACTACTCAGTAATCTAAGTTTTTCAGACACTCACCTGAATTTCTATATTAGTTTCTACATTTGCTACAATATTTAAGAGAAAGTTTGCGATATGCCAAACAAAGCCTTCATGAGTGTTCATCTCCGCTGGTGAGGCGAGAGAAATAAATGGGAAAAGTTCGACGGAGGCATACAAATAAGAGGGAAGAACAACACAAGTGCTAAAAATTTAATCATATAGCAGAGAGAAGAGGAAGGAAGGTTGGCGAGGAGAGCGAGAAAAATGAAGAAATAGGTCAAATGGTTCTTCTTACAATTTTTTTTGTGTTCGTTGATAATGTCGAAAAAGAAGGGCAATTCTCTTCAGCGAATTGTTCTATCAAGAAGAGTCCTCTCGCCTCTCATTTCACCCCCATTGCCCTGCATAATTTACAAAGAGCGATGTGCTTTTTCTTAACCTTAATTTATCTTCTTTGCAACATATATGTAACACGAACAAGTAGAACACAACTCTTTGCCGCAAAGCCTTTTATTGTGCCTGGAAAGCGTCATGGGATCGTGGAGCAAACAGCCTTTGTCCGCTTAATGTGAATTTTTCACCCCTCAGCCAGAGTATATAGCGGGATTTTAGGGAGGTTGCCTTCTTTTTTACAGTCCATTACAAGATATCATCTGGGCGGGGTGATTTAAGACGAGACATTTTTACGGGATCAAAGTTTTAGGTTCTACTTTGTGAGTTTGTCGACAATTTTATGCATCAGCATAGTCTGCAACATAGCCTTTGGCCTGCTGCTATTCCCATAAACTTTACTAGTGACATAACTTAGCATCATCCAATAAATAAGCTCACTATACGCTGTATTTGTGCTCGCTGGCACGCTAAACATTACCTGGAAAATAAATTAAAGTGGAATTCTATTGAGTGGAAAAAGGGTTTTTTTTTACAAAACCACACGTAAAAACTCATGTCCATCCTTGTTGTATTTTAATAATTGGGTAGGATTTTCCCACTCTTGTTCTCCAGTGTTTAAAATAGAATTAGAAAAGCACATGTCCGGAACTCATTAAATGCACGGAAGCTTATTGGAATTTTTCACTCCTTTCTCGCTAATTTGTACAATTTTCCTTCTCTCTCGTGCTTGTCTCATGGCATGGAAAATGTGGAAAATTTCCATGTTGCACCCAATTTGGGGTGTTAGCTGTGAGGTGGAGTCCACTGTTCCCCATGTGCTGGTGGCGAGAGCATAAAAAGAAGTGACCGGAAACTGTGTAATAAGCTTAACACTCGTTCTTCCATTCCAGGTGGCACTGGGGAGAAGGATTGGAATGTACAAATTCTGCAAAGACATTGGACGTGGAAATTTTTCGAAAGTGAAATTGGCTGTCCACCAATTAACAAGAGGTAAGGATTTTCTGGTCAAACTTCTCACAGTTCGTGATGGAATTTATACATATGTGCGACAGTTGCGCTCTGGACATTCTTCTCGCTTGTGTGCATTTCAGACAACAATTATTCCACCTGAAGGGAGATGTGGAAAATATTCCCATATCACGAAGTGGAATTTTCCGGATATCATGGCTCTCTCATTCTGTTGACTCAAGGATTTATATCCCAGTATTCTTGAATTGATTCACAGAGTGGAAGGGCTACGAGTGGAGAATTCCGGGTGAATAAATTTTTAACCCTGCATCCTTCATGAAGGAGTAATTTTTGAAAATTTGAATGCAAATACTCTCCTTTGTATTTATCAATTCTTTTCCTTCCTTCCACTAGAAATGTCTGCTTTTCTTCCTTCAGATCTCTCACTCGCCTTATTAGACTCCTTCGTCATTGTTGTGTTTGTTTTCTGATTTTTTTCACGCTCTGAATTTCGGGGTGAATCTCTTGACTCTTCTTTTTTTCCTCAACCTTCAGGACGAGAATTACGTTTTTTTCTGTTACTCTTGACGAAATTTTGTGTTTTACTTGCGCATTTTTGCTGACTTGAATTTAAATGAAACCTTTTTTTCCGTGTCAGTGACGGAGATGAAGGGAAAAGGGAGAACGAAATGTGGAATAGACATGTGATTTAAAGTGGATGAAATGGATAGAGAATTCTCTGGGAATTTAAAAGCACTTGAGATTCCTATGGATGTTCTCCACATTGTGCATCAAATACAAACTGTCACGCTTTAATTTCACACTAAACGTCCATGATAGGAATCTCCAATAATTATGCTCAGTCGACAGTTATGAATATGAAAATGAGAGAGAGGATTTTATTATCATTATTATGCGTAGAATGCAATAATAGTGATTTTTTTAAAATTGCAAAATTTCAACTGATGAGTATAATTAGAGTTTTTTTTCACATAAAAAGAATTAAAAGTCATATTTTCGTATTAATTTAATTTTTGTGATGCTAACAATAATCCTGTTGATTGGTCCGAAATTATTATAGTATGTCGATTATTTTGGGAAGCATAATTTATTGTTATAATTTGAAGAGATGAAAAATGCATCCAATTATTGCTGTGACTTTATACAAATTGTGTTCAATTTTGCACAGATGATGCAATATTTATCAGATTTCGTATAAATTCTGAGTGAAAATCTTCCGAAGACCACCTTTGCAGGTGTGTGAATTCTAAAAATTTTACCAATTCCTCAGGGAGATTTATGTGAAAATGGTGAAATTTTCTCATTTCTCACTTCCCTCTATCTCTCTCTCGCTCACCAGCCCGAGTATTTTCGTGTTTGTGAAGATGTTTCGTGGAAATTAATTTTCTTCAGGTGCTCCACTGGCATGAGCACGAAGGTTGGGCGGTGGGGCGGCAGTACTTCTCGAAATAGCATTTCCAAGGATTAAATTCTAATTGGGCAAGTGTAAATTATATTTTGCCAGTGATGTAAATGCGCAAGGATGTGGAAATGTTAGCAGAAAGTCAGAACATGGCTTGATAATTTGGTTGTCTTCTGGCTCTTTGCAGATAGTGTGGCCATTAAAGTGGTGGACAGGAGTCGATTGGATGCCAGAGCACTTCGCATGCTCTCTCGTGAAGTCACAACTCTGGAATGTGTTCACCATCCCAATATTTTAAGGTAAATAATGCTTTTGCCCTCACATGGAAGTGTTTGCCGCAGATATTGCCTCTTACTTAAAACATTCACTAATAAATTGACTCTAAATGCTCTGAATAGAAGTGGGAAATTTCTTGTAAGAGAAGTTTAGAGGAAATAGTTAAGAGTTTGAAGACATATTTGTGTTATTATCAAGGGTGGCTTTTTAAAAGCTGAAGACTTCTCAAAAGTTTGGCATGTTTTTCTCAACTCTCTAATTTACGGTCTTCAAGTTTGGCTTCTTACAAATTGTGATGGAAAATGGCATTGTTTAGTCTCAAAGGACAGAATATAATTTCAAGGATTAAAGCGATTGAAGCGTTCTGAGCTTGTGAGCTGTTCACGTGAGTTTCATCGATTGGGAAGATTCATGAAAAGTGTAGAGAAATGTTTAAAAATTTCATATATTGCCGGGGAAATTAAAAAAGCTCGATATGACTTATTTATTAACCATCCGTGTTGAATGATTGTTTCAGAGTGATTTCCGTGTCACTGTATCATGCAATAGGCTGCGTGCCTGATGAAAAAGCCTCCCTAAAATGCCAATGCCAAGAGCAAAGCACTGAGATTTGGGTCAGGAATTATGCGGGATGGGACGATGTGGGGGGTTTATTGTTCCGCACCATTGTCTATTTACTTGCCTACGACATAAAATATTTATACATAAACATTTCCCCCCCAATATTTGGCTGGCAGGGCGACGGGAGGGTGGTGAGTTTCGGGAGAGGCCCATTAAATTATTAATTCGGAAAAATCTTTCATGCATAATGACACAATAAATTGATGATTCTTGCTTTCATCTCTTCACATTTGGGGTAGGATATTTTTTCCTTGGGCCGAAGAGTGTCCTCCCAATTCAATGAAATTGTGTGCCAAGAGTGAAAAGGCGTTGAGTTATTCCCAAGAGTCATTTTACAGCACACGAGTTTTTTCTGCCCTTTTCTGTCACCCTCACCCTTGACAATATAGCGTCTCCTGGGTCAATATTTCTGGTGTGTTTTGCTTTATTGTGTCCGCGAGCGAGTGGGATGAATTGCGACATGAGATACATCTTGAAATATTCAAGAGAAAAATTCTTATGCAACACTGACAAGATGAGCGAATTATGGCCAATTCAGCACATTAGATGCATCCCTGGCACAAATCCAAACAATTATTCTCGCTTGCTTTACAAATCAATCTTCATGCAATTCCCTCATCATATCCATTAATCTCGAGTTTGGTGGAATCATTTTTCCGTTTTAAATGCTGGGTGGAATTTTGGGAGTACAGATGTAATATGGAAAACGGAGATACACAGTGAGTTCTCACACTTCTTCAGTCGCCGCGAGGGTGGAAAAATGTCATGGAAAATCCCAAAATCCGTGTCTCATGATATCATACAAACATTTCGTGCTCAGTCTGAATGTTTAATGATCAATGCAGTGTCAGAATTGATTCGAAATGATGTTCTTTGTCATCACATTTTGCTCTCATTTCATTTATTGGTGTGGCACGCGAAAAAAAATCGCGTAATGAAGAGTGATTAGAAATTTTACATGTTTTTCCATTTATCCGCGCAATGACGCTATCGATTGGGCAGAATGGAAAATGTCAAAGCTTTAATTGGACATACGCTGCATAGTAATGATTATTCATTTAACATTTCGAATATGTTTAATAGCGTAGATGCATCAATTTCAATTAACTCGCTATTGTATTGATTCGACGTTGTGAGAAGGTGCATCGGGTTTCTGTGTGCATTTCAATGAAATTTCATTGCTAAATGGTATGGATTGGGCGATTGTCGTTTGACACTCAAATTAAATGATTAAGCTATCAATTTCGTAAAGATTTCCAAATTCACATCATTTGGGCAATACTTAAATTGCCTCTGCATTTCCCATAAAGACCGTTATGAGAGTATTTAGTTAATTCTCAGTTTGGATTTGTATGTTCGGAAGATACCGCAAATTAAAAGTTTCAATTGGATTTGCAATTGGGTTCCATTCACGTTCGGCGAACTACGTGCTCTGGTAGACGGTTTTGCTGGTCAAAATGTTGCAGTGTGCGTTAATGAAATTTGCCTCTATATTTTGCAGACTATTCGAAGTGGTGGAGACACTAAATCGTGTTCACCTGGTGACGGAATTCATATCAGGTGGTGAATTGTATCATCGCCTAATCAACGACGGTCCAATTCAGGAGCAGCAAGCAAGCAAATTATTCCGTCAACTCCTGTCCGCTGTCCGTCATATGGTAATTAGTGTAGTATCTATGCAAATTCTGCGTATGCGCTAATCGACTTTTCTCAATTGTTTGGCCACTTTCCGCTATCATTTCAGCACAATTTGGGATTTGTCCACCGGGACATCAAGGCGGAAAATGTGCTTCTAGTCAACGAGGACAAAGTCAAATTGGCGGATTTTGGATTCAGCACACAATTATCAAATGGTGATTAATTAGTATTATGCCATTAGCATTCTGTCATGCGACTTTAGAAATTGCCAGAGAAATTCCACTCTTCAAGTCATGGGGTGACTTTTCGCTGAGAGATTTTTCTCACGCCCTGAGCAAAAAGTTAGAAACGCATGAACACCGAATGAATATTAATGGGATAATTAGTTGTGGGGGCAAAAATGAATACAGCAAAGAGTGGAAAATCCCAAAGAGACAGAGCGCAAAAAAAGTAGGAAAACATTATAATTTCTTGAGCGATTCTTGGGTGAGATTTTGTCGGCCCGAGAAAAGCTCCTTAAACTTTCCACAATGATTTCAACTATTTCAGAGAAGAAGGGTGGGTGAAAAAGTTTTCTTTAGCAAATTATTCATCATTGTTTGAGAAGAGAAAAACTCACTCTCGCGCGGTGGAAGAGAAATGAGTGAAAATTAAACTTTGTAGCTTTTTCATCAAAATACAAACTGTGGCAATGGTGGAAATAAATTTGTAATGGGAACAATTGTCCACAGAGCCATGTCGCACCTTTTGTGGAAGTCCTCCATACGCGGCTCCCGAGCTGTTCAGTGATGACGACTATGTGGGCAAGCCGGTGGACGTCTGGGCGCTGGGCGTACTGTTGTACTTCATGATCATCGGAAACATGCCCTTCAGGGCACCCACTGTGCCCGCGCTCAGGACAGCAGTCCTAAAAGGGGACTATCTCCTGCCTGGCCACTTAACTCTTCCATTAATTCGGCTAATCCGTGAGTATATGCAGCAATTTCGCACTCTATTGAGTGAAATTCCTGACTTTTGTTGCACTTGCAGAGCGAATTTTAGTTCATGTGCCATCAAGGCGTCCCACAATCGAACAAATGATCCAGTGCCAGTGGCTGAACAACCCGCCGAAGCCGCTCAATGAGATGAACCGGAAGAAGTCGGGCTTCTGGCGCATCAAAGCGCGCAACATTCGCTCCTCGCGATCTACCAAAGATCTCACACAGCTGGACTCACGGAGTCTCGTGCCGATCGCCTGCAATACCCGACGTGGCAACAGTGTTCTGGACGAGAGCTTTCTCTTTCCGCTGGATGTGATCACGCGTGAGGATGTGGACGAGCCGGTGGCGTCGGTGCAGCAGCGCAGATCATTCTTCGGGGCCAATTCGAAGAAGAAGATCGGCCCGATGGAGACAGAGCGCCGCGAGTCGGGGAAGATGTTCAAGCGGAGCAGCTGTGTGGAGATCACGAGTGCCAATGAGGTGCTGAATGACAAGAAGCACATCATGATGGAGTCCAGATCGGCGGTGGATATTCAGAACAGCATGTCGCAAGAGGAGGAAGAGGGAGAGTTCATCATGAGGCCGAGCTTTACGTACGATCTCAGTCACTTGCATCCGCTGGAGGTCGAAACCAGGCGTATTCTTGAGAAGCTGGGCATCTCGTCGGAGATGCTCTGTCATTCCATATCAAGTGGACCAAGGAGCGATGTTATAGGTGAGAATGTCACTAATTCAGTACGGAAACATTCGCATGAGGTGCAAATTCTGCTGCAAATTGCGTTGGATGTTGTTTTTTTCTTGCATTGCTACAAGAGCGTGATGTTGAAGAATCTCCACTTTCTAATGCAATGAATTGAGAAGCTTGTGAATATTTATCAGTAACATTGTTGCATTGTTATCGTTGCAGGTGCTTACCGAATAGTTGTAAATCGTCTGCAGAAGCAGATTCTGCTGGCCAAATTGAAGGAAACCCTTGCCAAAGAGGAAGCGAACGCCACCAAATCCAAAGGAAACACCACCTCATGTGTCATTCTGTAGAGGAGCACGAGAATGGCCACATCACAATATTATCTCTTTTTACCTCCATTAGATTTATTTATCTAGGCTGAGATGATGAGCGGGAGATGCGAAGCGCAGAATGTGAAATCACTTTCAGCTGTGCAGAGAGTGAGATTACTTTAGGCATGCTTAGAGATTGGAATTGATGTTGTTATATGAGGATGTGAAGCATAAAAAGACAGTATATGAGATTTGCTGATAGATTTTGGAATAATGTGATCACTATTGTGATTTGATATCGTTGCCCGTGCGCCTCTTTTGCCAGCGACAAGTCGCGGCGGAGCTAAGGAGAAGGGATATCAACGATATTTAGGTGTTTACAATTAAGTTTATTAGATGTTCTGTGCACTTCACTGAGAAGTGCACCACACAGAGTACGTGGGTTCCTAAACTTAAGTCAAGATTAGATGGTAGAATGAGATTACCCTCTGTAAGACTCGTGAAATTCCTCTCCCGTTTCATTTACAGTTATTAAAATTAGATTTGAGATGCTTTACGTAGTTGAGAAGAGAGATATTCTTGTTTGCATGTTAATAAAGTCACTGATATCTTTCCACTGTTCAATGATGCACAACAATGAATTTTAGAGAGGACGATGAAGACATTTTGAATCTACATATTGAAAATTTTTAAATCTATCTTCATTCTAGTGAAAATGTACGAAGGAAACTTTCCAAGAAGGCCAATTTAGTGAAATTAATCACACAATTACATATGTAAGACACTAAATAGTCAACTTTTCCCATTTTTCCACTGTGAGAATTTTCATACTTGATAATGAGCTTTGGAGAAAAAACCGCATCTTTCTATCAAATAACTGACTCTCAAACATTGATGCATTTTTGGTTTGAAAGTGAAATCAAATACCATTGATATAGTTGAATAGTGAATGATGAAAAATGTAGCGTAAAATTAAATGTTAATTGCAGCAAATAAAGACAATGTTATATAACTAATACTAGGTGTTTATCATACTAATTACCCTGCATTTATTATTTATTTGTTTACTATTGCGCGCCCGATTCTGCAGATTCGCTCAGTGTCTCCGAGTGGTGAGTGTCTCGGTTAAGTCGCTCAGCGCGATATATCGCGCAATTCCGCTCGATATATATCATTTGCTGTCATGTCAGGGAGTGTTTTTCTGCAAAAAATGCGTAAATTTCCAGCGAGGAAGTGAAAAAATGGCAAGTGCTTGTGTCTCCAGCAAGGTAGCCGGTGAATTGAGTGAGAAGAGGCCAGAAGACAGTCCGGATGATGAGGAGAAGAGCGTCCTGGACGACTTGACCAGCTCAAGTTCTCTCCTTGAGTTCCTCACCCACGAGCAGAAGTGTCTGGAAGGGTTGCTGGAGGGCACCAGCACGGATGTGGACATTGAGAGCATCTTCGAGGAGATCAATCGCTTATCCGACAACTCAGATGAGCGCAGCGTCGAGGAGATTCTCAAGGAAGCGGAAATGCTGATGCTCCTCACCAGTCAGCCCGTGTCCGGAAAGAGACAGTCTCCGGATGAGAAACCTGATGTGGAGCATGAAAAAGACACCTTGCACTCTCCGTTGGAGGTGAGTTATTTATTCCCTCTCTTTCTGGGGCTACATACTTAAATAGTGAGTAGAAAAAACTGGGAAATCCCGAGCTTTAGCCATGTGTGATGGCTTCGGCGACTTTGTACGTGAAGATCTGGGCTTCTTTGCTGGCGGCGATGATCTGATTGGCGGGCAGAATGAAGCCACTGCGTCCTGAGTCTCTCAGTTCAATTGTGTAGCAGTATTTAATGCCCAGAGTGCCCTTTCCCCAGTCATCAGAGCCTCCGGAAGCTGGGTATAGCAAGCTCCCGGACGGTCCCACGGAGTAAGTTGCGCCTCCGGACTGTTTCATAAGCGCCGCCGCTTCCCGGCCCAACTTCTCGAGATCCTTGTGATCCGGGGGCACTACGCGGTCGTATCCCCAGGGATAGAGGATGTATTGGCCATAGCTATGGAAGCTGAGATATCCCTGGAAGTTGGCACCGCTTCGCGCAAAGAAATCTCTCTGCGCCAGTGTCTCGGGCTCTGAAAAAGCGTTCTGCCCGGCGAAGGTCTCGGCGCAGGGCTGCCTGGAAGCTCCCTGGCCGCCCCAGTGGTATCCAAAGTTCCTGTTTAAGTCCACCCCGTGGCATCTTCCGTTGGTGGACGGACGTCGGTTCTTCCTCCAGAGCCTGTCCACGAGATGCGTGTACTCGTACCCGTCGGGATTGGCCACTGGCAGTATGTACCAGTCGATGTCCTGCACGTACTTGGGCTGATCCTCGCGGTACTCCACCAGCTGATCTATGATGTAAGTGACAGTGGCTGGAGAGATCCACTCTCTCGCATGGATGCCTCCGTCTATCCAGATGGCCTTGTTGTGAACACCCCCATTGGAGATGCGGAGTACGAGCAAGGGACGGCCCTCGATTGAGTTCCCGATGGACTGCACGCTGCAGAGCTCGGGATAAGTCTTGGCCAGGTACTCAAGGTACCCGTGAACATCCGACAGCCTGTGATAGGCACTCCATGTCATTCTGTGGCCTTTGAGTGAGAGAGTATCGAATTAGTTTCAAGTAAAATCAGTAAGTGCAAGTTGTGCAAGTCAAATAGCTTAAATGGTGAGGATTAAGACATTCTTTTCCTTAGTGTTATTTCCCATTACGTTTACTAACATTAAACTGAGCACAAGATTTGAGCAGCAAAACTTGAATACAGATTTTTAAGTCGTATTTCCACCTAATTGTGGGGTTAAAATGGATAAAATCGAAGTGCTCAGATCTTATTGCTCAGATTCAATGCAAGTAAACTTTCTTTGCAAGAGATTTTCTTTTTGTACTTTTGTCGCCTAAAGGGACAAGAAAACAAATTCCCCTGCTAAAGGAAAGTGTGCTTGAGGAATATCTTAGGATGAATGGATCAGAAATGTGGGCTGAATGTCATTCAAATCAATATAAATTAAATACTCTCTAATTTGTGGTCAATGCATTTTGCTGACCTCTTTAAATATTTGGTAATATTTTGCACAATTTAAGTGAATTTCACTTAGACCCAATAATGTTCAGCCCACATGCCTGGCTGCTTGAGACAACATTACCCCATTTGGCGTCCGGCCACAGTTCCATGGGTGGATCGAGGGAGTTGTAGCCAAGGAAGGCCCCGCGGAGGCGCCGATAGCTCAGTGATCTCTGATTGACCACGGGCACAGCGCTTGATCGTCGCCAGAAATTCACGTGTCTGGCTTTAAAAGCAAGAGAGAGGGCACAGGAGAGACAGATTGAGGCAAGACAGTGGTCATGGAAGAAACAAAAAGAGATAAAGAGCCAGAGAGAAGAGGGAGATGAGCTAAGAGAGCTACAAGAAAAAGAAATTATAAGTACATCATAAACATAATAATATGAGAGAAATAAAAAAAAATCGACAGAGAGTGAAAATGAGCCTGAAGAGAGTCGCGGCATTTTCTGCATTCGCACGGAAAGTGGCGCGATAAGTGTCAACCTCGATTGGGGTCTCGTTTTGATATGTTTTTTGGGGAATTGTGGGAGAGATTTTGTACTTCAATTTATTCACCATTGAGTCTCTTCGCTTTGGCTTTCATGTGAAATCGCATAAATAATGATGAGTGTGACTTCAATTGAAGTGACTGTGAAAGTTCATGCTTTTTTTTTGCTAGAATTATAATTATAACCTTTTGGATAAGATCACGACGTTCGCACAGATTGTCTTCGAAAGAAGATGCAAAGAGTCCCTTTAAGTCTTACAGCAGCATTTAAGAGTTCATGATGTTTATGTTTTCTTCCATATACATTTCAATTTGTTTAATTAACTTTACGAGAGCATTATTATGAATATCTTTATTCCTCGTTCGTCCCTAAATTACATTGAGTGTCTTTTATCTTTATTTCTGCGTGTCACGAAGGTTTTTGTGTGGGTGATTTGAAGAATTCTAATTGCCACATTCTTACTGAAATTCTCTGGGAATTTCCCCCGTGACGGTGTGAAAGACTTTCCCGGTGTGCACTTTATGCTAATTCCTGAGACACTCTGAGTTCTAATTGAGTCGTAAAATCACAGTATTTTATGGTCTCTCTTTCTCCACTGAGTCCCGCTGAGAATTGCGACGAGGTGATAAAATTCCCGCCGCGGAATTGAAAATAATCTGATAGAGCGTTGCAAGGAACGCCGATTGAGTCTGATGGTGGGAAATCAGGGAAGAGCGAAGGAGTGGAAGTCAGTCATGCGTGGCGCCCTTTCGGGACCCCCTTTTCGTCGACTTTTGGTATGTTTGGCGTTGATTGAAAAGTGCGTCTGTGTGTGGTAATGATGGTTACAATCCATTGTGGGGGCTTTGCGAAGGGAGCGACCCTTCCTGCATTAATCATTCTTCTGCGCTGCATATTATTGATAAAACACTTTTTCTCTTTATTTTCGTGCGAAGGGTTTTTTTGGTTGGCGAAATGCAGAAAATGTTGCGATGGAAAACTATCAGAGGTCATGGTGGGATCATCTTTCATTTTCACGCGTTGCCAGACGAAAGGGTTGACGAATTGCTTCATCGATGGGGTCTTAATTGCTGCAGTGTTTGAGGTTTTGAGAATATCTCCTAAACACTCACAATTTGACCCCTTGAGTGAGTACAAATCGACGTTTGAATCGAAAACTATGGAAAGTCAAAATCTCCATTTTTGAGAAGAGCAAAATAATATCGCTGTGAAATTCGCCAAATTTATCTCAAAACACCTTTCAATCTTTCATTAAACCACTAATATTGCTCCTCTAATGTCGACTTTTCATAGTTTTCGATTCACTCGTCAAATTATATGTGAGATTTGCGTACCTTTGCGATTCTGAAGTTGCTCAATGACTTCAGGCGGTGGATTCTCTGTATCGATCGCATGCTGAAGATCATCTATCACAACATCAAAGGGCACTTTGGCATTCTCCAGCAATTTTCGTGCCTCAGAAATTACGGGCCTCTTCAGGAACATGTCAACGGACGTCCCATTGAGATTCCACATTGCGACATCTGCTGTAAAGAGAATGATAGAGCTTGAGATGTCACTGTCTGTTGACATTTAATTTGCGGAAAATTTTTGGGCAGAAAGAAAGAGTGTGAGAGAGAAATCGGGGTTTCACATACTGAATTTGTGCTGAAGATCAGCCACGGCGTTCTTCCGCACTTGATCATCATACGAGATGCGCCACAATTGGGCGCCAATGTACTTGACTGGATGATCATCTGCGTCACTTTCATCTTCACGCGGATTATCCAATAATTCCGGTTCGGTGCTGTTCTCAAATGGCTGTGGGCTAATCACTAAGACATCACTCTGTGCGCTCGGTGTTGTTGGCGATGCCAGAGATGAAAGTGGTGCGTTAACCGCGATCACGATGCAAATGAACACAATCACATTCACTTTTACGGCACGAGTGTCCGCGAACAAGATCAATGGCAACATATTGATGTCTGTCTCTTCGCGTGCGTTGATCACACTTTCTTGGCTGATCTTCACCGATCGACGCCTTGGTGGGAAATGATCGGGACTTGGCGGTGGCGGCGTGATTTTATAATGTGGCCTCAGGTGTGACGAGACCACAAGGAAAGTGGAGGGAGAGAGAGTCTCAGGGGGGAAAAGTGTGTGTGGCAGCTCAAGAATCAATTTATTCCTTGTGAAGAAAAAGGCAGATAATTTGCACAAGACGACAAACAAAAAAAAAATTTTGATCACTGAGAAATTTTGCTGTGCATTTATTCTCAATATATGAACGTGGAAAAGCCTGTCTTTTCACTTTCTATGGGGAAATTGCATATTGTTGTAATACCTTTCGTGTATCGATGGCAAAGTTGCATGATTTGTGAGACATTGAAGACGCTCGTGTGAAATTGCATCTGCAATCTCCTGTCGTGATTGTCGAGTTTTTACATGAACACACAAACTGTGCGCAAAGGCAAAAAAGCTAATTGAATTCTCTTCTCCGGTGTATTTTTACGAGTGATTTACTATCAACCTCTGTCACCGTCCCACCTTCTTCAGGTTCATTGTGATGTGTGGAGAAAAATGTGAGTTTTGCTCTCAAAAATCAGTGTCAAGTTCATTGGTTTTCGAAGACGCACAACGCTCGGCATTTCCCACCGAAAAAATTGCACGCACTTGAAATTTCTATCTTCACACACACACACAAATTAAATGGCGAAGAGAGTGAAGAAATGCCTTATAAGACATGTTTGGAATACATTTTTTCCGCTCTACACAATTTTGTTAATTGTTTATCTTCATGTCTTTTATTGTATTTCACTTCCTCACCACGTTTCTTTCGGCTCATTGTAATTTTTCTCCAATGAAAATTGCAATAATTTGCTCTGTGGTAAAAGAGACACATTGGTTTCTAAAGAGAAAGAAATCACTTTTCTCAGTTATTGTGCGATTGACAGACAGTGTCTGGCGAAGCGGTTAGCATTTCTCTTGAATGTGGAATTTTAAAATTGTGTTTTTTGCACAAATTTTGCAAGAGCTTCTATTGTGAAGTCCTCCTAAAAGGACATGCGGCGTTGAGACTATTTTGCTCTGCATCTGGCTTCGTGACTACGTGCTGTTTGCATAAAAAATCACGCGCACTCTTTTGTGGGAGAGACGTGTGGATTCTTTCGGGTGGTTGAAGAAGTGGAAGAGTTTATTTGTCGGTTGGGATGGAGGAATTGGGCGAGGTGAGAAGTGAAGACTTGAGTGGTGGCGCAGGTTAGCAACCTCTCTTTGTTGGAAGGTGGAAAGTGACTTGGCTCAGCTCCCCGTGGACACAGCGCGAAGCGGTAACGCGGGGGTCAAATTTATAAAGTTGGGGAAATTATGAGGAGTGCTGGGAATATTTCCTGGATACTCGCGAGGCAGTTATGCTGTGCTGTGCCTGCTTGGCGGGAAACCTGTTCGCTGTGTGAGAGATTATGGGCAGAAGGTGGAAGAAAAAGAGGAGCATTATAACTGTAAACGCAGTTTTGATGAGCGTGACAATATTGTTTATAAATATTTAATATTAAAATGTCTCATTTGAAATTCCTCCAGCCTCATCAGCATCGTGTCGTTTTTCCATCTCTTTGCAGCGAACCCCGCGAGTTGGCAGTGACACGGAGAAGGTGGATTCTATTGTCAATTTTGATGAGATCGTTGTGCCGGCTCAGGTGAAGAACCAGGAGAGTTCACCGCCAAAGCCGATGACACCGGAGAGGCCGCATGTGGAGGTGATTGTGGAAAGTTCCCGGGACAAGTGCATAGGAACTGATATTCAGTTTCTGGACAAGTTCACCACACCGTCGCCCACAAGGAGTCTCACGCCTGTCAATGAGGAGCGGTGGCCGCCGCGACAGAGAGCGCTTGAGGATGAGATAGTGACGCTACAGGAGCGGCTGAAGGACACGGAGGAGAGATTCCAGAGTCTCCGTCTGCAGCACGACACGGTGTCGTCGCATCAGCGAACTCTCCGGGAGTCTCAGTCTGCGATGCAGGAGGAGACGGAGCGACTGAAGCTTGAGGTGCAACATCTCACGGAGTGCGCCAGTGTCTTGAGGACGGAGGTTCAGGCGGCTCGCAGTGACAGAGCTGAGGCTCAGGAAGTGCAGCGCGTTCTCCAGGCGGAACTCGAGGAGGCTCGTGCTGAGAAGCGAAAACTCCAGGAGCAAACTGATCGGGACGCAAAGGTGATTTTGGATTTGCAGCGACAGTGCAAGGAGATGGAGAGGATTCTCATGAGGAAGCATCCGGATTCTGTTTCGGCACTCATTGTGGCGTCCAAAGGTGTGGGCAATGCCAAAGAGGAGGCGTCTACGAGACGTGTCCTGGAGCAGAGAATTGCTCAGCTCGAGGCGGACGCCAAGGAGCAAGATGCCAAAGCTCAGAAGATCCTCTCCAACGTCCAGTCCAAGTTCAGTACCGTGCAATCAAAATATGAGACTCACATTGCAGATCTGGAGACTCAGGTTCTCAGTCTGCAGGAGATCAACACGAAGCTCACGCAGAAGGTTGAGTCGCAGAGTGCAATAATCCGCGAGAGGAATAATATTGTCCTGTCCAGCACCTTCACACAAACTGAGGAGATTCCCGAACGTGATATTTCGGTGGAGAAGATCTCAATTAGCACACAAACGGACCAAAAACCGACCACAGGAAAGCAATCCGCCTCGCCGAATGCCAAAAAGTCCACAAACTCAGGTAGAATTGTGAACTCATACTCAGAGTCGCAGATAAATCATGGCAATGATCCTCATCTCATGGCGACAATTCGGGGGATGCGAGTGGATTTGGCGATTAAGGAGAAAGCTCTGCAGAGACTCACGAGAGAGTTGGAGGAGTGCAAGAAGACAATTCGGAAGGCACAGCAGAAGGAAAGGGAATGTAAGTGGATTTTCACTGAGCAGAGTGTAATTTATTGTATAGATGAAGATCCATGACCTTGGCCGAGATTGTAATGATAATTATTAGTAATTTATTTGTTTGCGAAAAAGATGAAAGAGATGTTTTCATTTTAATTGCACTTGAAGCACTCTTGATATCATTTATAATTTGTAATACATGTGTAGTGGTTTTTTTAGAGAGTAGGTTAGTAATCTTGTTTTCAATCTCAGTTTTGCGTGTAGATTTTATTTCCGCTGTTTTGACTTCTTCCACTGTTCATCTTTTATATGTTATCTCTAGTCTAGATATATTTATTTATAACTCTGTGCTTTCTCAGTGATTTTTTTCCCCTGATGTCAAGCCCTGATTTACTGAGTATAATCTTTTCTTTTGCGTTCGCCTTCTAGCTGTCACAGCGACAGCGGCAAAAACTGCGTCCAAGAAGATTGCAGAGGCCGATGGGCAGTGTAATGGAGATGGAACGAGTCTGAAAGAGGCGCAAAATAAAATCAAACTACTGGAATTTGACTACAAATCCCTGCATGAGAAGCGTCTTCAGGATGTAAGTGGAGTTGTTTCTCATCCATTTTCAAATGAGTATTGATTCACAGCCATGAATTGGCAATTCCAGCTTCGCACCCTTCAGGCGGCTCATGAGAAGGAACTGGCGTCCTGCCATGAGACAGTGAACATCCTTCAGCAGCGTCTCAAGGAGAGGGATGAGGCCTTCGCCATGCAGAAGCGCCGAAGAGTTCCGGTGGATTATTATGCCTTAAAAGCCAAGGTATGAGCACTTTGCTTCTTTGGTTTTACTCAATGTGTAAGTTTTTTTTCTTTCTTTTCTCTCATTTATTATTTCATCACAGTGTGAATCGTTGATTTTTCCATTGGATATAATTTTTGTGGCTTTAATTTCTTTTGAAGTGTCCACAATCTTTTGACTTATTTGCTTACTAACCACTTTTTGGCCATTCTCTCCCACTAACACTCTGCGCTTCTTTTCTCTAGATGCAAAATACAAAGCGCTTGAGAAATATTTACCAAAAAGTCGCACGCAATTCATCAAAAGAGTCGCACGTGTTTGTGAATTGGCGGGAAAAGTCGAGAATCACTCATTGTACATTTTCGCTTTGACACAAAACATCATTGATGGGGAGGTGTTTGTATGATCCCTGATATTGAGTTGCGGGTGATTTTTGCCACCCCAAAACCCCTCCTGCAGGTGACATCCCTCGAGCGGAGGCACTTGGAGCGGGAGCAGAGGCTTCACATGCTCGTGGAGGCGCTCAGCAAGGGACGCCTCGGCAATGGGCAGCTCCTCGAGGACTGCCTCGCGAGCGCCGACTGCTCACGTTGTCATCATCATCATGTTGGTGACAACTGAGATGCCCCGCAAATTTGTACACGTGAAACCTCAAGACAGTGAGTTGCACAGAAATTGTCTCAGTTTTCTCTGGAGAAATGCTTTCTGCACGCATTGACTGTTTATTTATGATTTCTGTGATTTCGTGAGCAAAGAGAGCTGAATAGTGTGATTAGTTGTTTAAAATATTAAACATAGTAGACCGTCCTTGAATCGGTTTGTTCGTGAAGAAATTGTGTGATAGAGAAAAATTAATTCGTCCAGAGACAGAGAGAGAAGAAAAGCAAAGAAAAAAATGTTCAGAAAATCTTCAATGTTGACTCCAATCGATTTTCCACTATAGTTCAGGCTATATTTTCATTAAATCTCCTCCTGTTGAAGATGCCAGAAAGTGTGTGGCAAATTGACAATAATTGAGTCGCAGAGTTGTTGAGAAAATTCTCTCGTTCATTTTATCATTTCGATACAGAAAAAAAACATCAACGTGAAATGGAGGCATAAATTGATAAAGTGGAAAACTGTCCCTCGAACCGCCACTTAGAGAGATTGTATTTAATTAGAGTCAATATGGTCTCTTTGTGAAGTTTTGAATTTTCTCCCACTTTCTCACATTATTTCTCTCACTCAGATCTCGATTGTATTTCAATCTTATAGGAGTTAAAGTTGCTAAAGTGTCTGGAAAATCCTCAAAAAGTGCGAATCAATTCTCATGAAAGCACTTTATACAAATCAGTATTAAATGCAGGGAACAATGGGAAAGAAAAGGAACTTTATAGATTTTTTTCTTCTTTTATTAAGTTTGAATACTTGACATCACATTGAATTTATAACCACCGAGGATTTCATGATTTGGAAATGGAATCATTTTTTAAAATTTCGTGCTTGTTTTCATGGGAATTGATTCTCAAAATATTGTAGAAAATAACTGTAATTCCATAAAACGCTATTTTATATTCTAGTGACGATTAAGAAATCTAATTAGGGAAGAGCGCGTCAGTTTCGGCCATGAAGGTTTATTTGTAGAAATTTGGATGAATTTACTCAGAATTAATGCTTTCTAAAACAGAATCTTTTGATTTCTGGAAATTGTCATAAAATTTAAATGTGTGTCCGAAACTGCTCTGTTCTCTTCTACATATCTTGGAGTTCTTGTTTTTAGAAATATGTAGTAAATTTTAGAAACTTTACTTACATTATCCTTAAATTGTGGATATGGAATTACAGTTAATTTTCCTTAACATCTTTCCACTGAAGTTACTAAAAGTATTATTATTATATTACCACAACTTAAGCACATCTAAATACCAAATAGTAGTTTAAAAAAAAAGTTTAGCAAAGTGCATTAGCCAAAAAAAGGAATTAAAGGAAACTCAAAAAAATATTCTACTTTATAGAAAATACTCTGAATATTTTTCTAGTGATTAATTTTGATGCACCAAAAAAATTCTTTTGATCTCTTTGAAAGCATTTGTTTTAGTGATTTAACTGCCAGAATTCAGTGTTTTTCATGGAGAAAATATAGTGTAGAGAAGGACAGAGTATTTTTGAAGTAATAATTTATAGAGTTGACGTCGATTTTTCTTTCATTTCTGTGAAGATGACAAAAGAGTTGATATGAAGAGAAATAAAATAACGATGAAAATTGTACATTACAGTATTTTTTTTATTATACACCAGCAACAAGATTTTTTTTTTACACAGATTCCTTTATTCCTTTATAGACACTGAGTAATACTTTTGAGTTATTCGATATCTGATGGAGTTTAGAGAGCAGAAAAATATATATTTTTTATTGTTTTGTGTATGTTCGATGCTCAGACTTGAGGATTTCTAATCGAAAATACACACACAATCTCTTTGACTTTATGTACATCCACCTCCAGGTTGAAGATTTGCATTAGCGTTTGAGTTGATTAAGTATATTCTACACACATATTATCTTGGGATATTTGAGAATAGGAGGAAATTCACTTTTCATTAGCAGGAAGTCGTCATTGTTGCCCTTCTCAATATCTCTGCATTTATGCCATTTTCACTTTGGCCGCGAAGCCGTGGAATTTGTCCAAGATTTGGGCCATTTTGGACTTGTTGATCTCATCCTGGGATTTGAGGGAGCGCACTAGAATGGCGAGGATCAGCATGGTCTGCACAGCTGGCCAGAAGAGTGGAGTTGAAGAGGCGACAGTGGGTTTGGTGAGTTCAGGAAGTTCACGGCGCTCTTCACGTTCGCGACGCTCTTCACGTTCGCGACGCTGTTCACGTTCGCGACGCTCTTCCCGTTCTCGGCGCTCTTCACGGCGATCTTCACGCTCTCGACGCTCCTCACGGCGCTCCAGACGGTCCACACGCCTGGATTCTACATCCCGGACGCGGCTGTCCACCAGATTCGCCTCGCGGCGTCGCTCTCCATCCAATCGCACACGTCGCACTGCGTCAATGTTGCGTCGCAAGAAGTCAACTTCGCGTCTCTGTGGGATTTCACGGCGTCGCACGTCACGGGTCTCAGTGGAGAATCTCCTGGTCTCTCGGCGAGCCTCAACTTCTCGGCGAGCAGAATCCCGACGATCCTCAGAAACACGGGAATCGCGGCGAATGTCTCGTCGGCTGTCCAAGCGACGCTCTTCCACACGACGATCGTCCACGCGTCGCTCTTCCAGGCGTCGATCGCCGATCTTCCTGTCTAAGCGTCGGTCTTCTAGGCGTCGGTCTTCTAGGCGTCGCAGGTCGCAGGAAGCGTCTGCGGCGCCACAGCGGCGCGTGTCGAGGAATCCAAGAGCACAAGTCACTTGAAGAAGCACCACAATAGCGACCAGAGCCTTAAGAAAGCGGGTGGTTGATACCATCTTATGCTGGCGGGCTGTCTCTTCCTCTGCCTTTTGTGGGGAGAATCCTATGAGAAGTGTTGTCTTATGTGGATTTTCACAGACTCCTTGCAAGTGAGAAAGTCTTCCTGGCACAACTGATTTGCACAGTGGCACAAAACACGGGAAACTGATGTCCGTGAGTGGCTGGGATTTCTTTTATACTCTCCAGCCCACCAGAGAAGCAATCTATCCTGGCAGAATCCAATTTTACACTTCACCATCTCTAATGTGAAGATTCATTCAATTTTCCGTATCGCATCTGTGCCATTCCTGGGAAAGTGCGTCACAAGGAGCTGCAAGAGAAAAGCGCGGGCAATTTTATGAATGAAAGTGCGCAGCTCGAATGCGTGGGCGAAGCCTTTTACCCCAAGTTTTTTTTCCTTATCAGAATTGTTTTCCACATAGCTGCCTCGCGAAATTGCTCACTGAGAAATTGATTGGAATGCTTGGAATGGTAAAAAAATATTTATTCAGATTCTCATTCCAACAAAAGTCCAAGGCGTTCATTAATTTCCTGCAGCCTGGACTTTGCTGGGGGCTTCAGTGGGGCTCCTGAAGATGTTGACGGCTGTCCAGGCGCCATTCCAGTGGGCTGTAAAGGATTTTCATGGGATTACTAAGGACATTACTGGAGATTTCACCAAAACATTACATTCTGAGCTTGACGAGTGGCTGCTCTCTCCTGCCTGGCCACTTCGTACTCCTTGAGGTCATTGAGAGTCAATGTTATTTCCTGGATTTTCCTCCTCCGCATTTTCCTGGCTGCTCAACGGATTTCTTTTTAAATTTCCTGCAAAGGGAAAAGTCGCTGAGTTTCAAAATTATATCGCCGCGCAGTTGCTCAGTCATCGTGCATCTGGCAACCCGCTTGGCGAGCACATTCTGAACTGTCAAACACCAACTCATTGATTAGTGGCTTGGATTTTTGCACAAAAAGCACCTTTTGGGAGCCTCTGTGCCGCTAAATCCGTGCAAAGCAGTGAAAATAGGTGTTTGCAGCCATGTTGTACTTAGAGGATTACCTCGAGAGTGAGTATTTCGGATGGAAAATGCGTTTTTCGGGGTTGAAAAAATAATGAGGCTTGGCTAGGTTGTCAAACTGATGGCGGAACTGAAAACATCGACTCACTGTCACGATGACAGCGCTTTGTTTGGGGAAAAATGCCCGGGAAAATGAAAAAGAGGCTTTTCATGTAATACTGTGATTTTCTAATTACAGTGATCGAGCATTTACCTCAAGAGTTGAGGGATAGATTCACAGAGATGAGAGAAATGGACTTGTCTGTACAGAGTGAGTTGACAGTGCGTAATGCCGGGAAATTCTCATTATTTACACATATTTGTTTACTTGATTGTGCAGATAATATGGATTCCCTGGACAAGAGAGTTCGTGTATTTTTCTCCCAATGTCGCCGGAGTGAATTGCAATCTGGACAGGCGGATGCAGAGTTCCAGTCACTGCGAAAAGACTATTATAAAGTCCTGGAGGATGCGGATGAGAAGGTGCAACTTGCTAGTCAAATGTATGATCTGGTGGAGCGCTACCTGCGTCGGCTGGACAGTGAATTATACAAATTCAAGTGTGAACTTGAGGCAGATCACAATGGGATCACTGAGATCCTGGAGAAGCGATCCCTCGAGTTGGATGGCACCAGCAACAGTATTACAAGCTCGGGGAGCAATCATCAGAAGGAGAATCGCTATTTCGGCCTCTTGGCCAGCGGAAGTACGCCTTCGGTGAGCTCCCAGAGCCAGAGGACAGACTCTCGCTATCGTCACAAAACGGAAAAGAGGAGAGACAGTGGGAGTGGAACCAATCTGGGCGTGGAGAAGCGTCAGGCACTGAGTATCACCAACTCCCAGACACCAGTGCGTCCAGTGACTCCCAATCTCAGCACGAGTAGCGTGTCTCATCACCAACCACTGACCAGTACGCCCAACTCCTCAGTGGGCTACAGTCTGCAGCACATTGGAGCGGGCAATGCCATCGCGGCTGCCGCCAGCCAGGCCATTGCAGCGACACAGCAGATGCAACAGGGCAGACGCACGGCGAGTCTCAAGGCGTCGTATGAGGCCATTCACAGTTCGTCTGGCAGCGGCGCCCATGAACTCCTTCTGGGCACAGATCTGGCGAGCTTGCGAGGTCTGGAGCGCGAGGGCAGCTCCTACAACTCCAGTCAGAGGAGGCACAAGAAGTAAGTCGAATAGTTTCCATGCTTTTCGCCCTGATTTCGCGCACCTTTACCAAGAATCCCCGACAGATTCGCGTCGCGATTTTCATTTCCATCCGGACACTTCGCAGCAACCGTGAGTCCTTTAGTCCCAGACGAATTTATACATTGACGACCCCAAATTTGCCAAATTAGTTGATTCATTAAATTTGGGGTCTGCGAAATGTGTAATTTCCGTCGCACTGCATACATTATTCGTCCTGTAGTAGCATCTATTCTGTGACTTGTAGACTAACACATGTCTCGATTTGTAGGAAACTCAACACTAGTTTATCGCATAACAGTCAATCGTCCCTCCCGTCGACGCCCACGAGCACGCAAGTGTCCCTCGTGGAGCCCACGACGCCCACGGTGGTGATAAACGAGAATGGGATGGTGGTGGAACAGACGCCCGAGGGCGAGTGGACTTACGATCCCAATGAGCCGCGCTACTGCATCTGCAACCAAGTGTCGTACGGCGACATGGTGGCGTGCGACAATGAAGACGTGAGTCTCAGACGCTCAGATCTCTCACAAGGGAAGTCTATTCTAATCTGTGCGGGTTCTTTTGCAGTGTCCCTTCGAATGGTTCCACTATCCGTGCGTGGGCATAACACAATCACCCAAAGGGAAGTGGTACTGTCCACAGTGCACATCATCTATGCGCCGCAGAGGCTCGCGGAAGACGTAGGGCGAATCGTGCATGTCCTTAGGCTGCTGAACAGAGTGAGATTGACAATTCTTAAACGCTTCGGAATCATTCTCTCTACTTAGAACTGCATACAAGCACTGTCTTGAGATTACTTCCCGGAGCCACGCAGCATTCGTGGCATCCGCATTCGTAAAGCACGCCAGAGAAGAGAGATCGTGTATACAAAAGCATTGTTGATGGAATCTTGTGGGTCTCAATGAAAGATGATCACTCAAAATTGACATTTTCGTGTATTTGATTAGTTATTTAACTATGTTTCTCTCGGAAAAGTTTACCCAAATTCCACCTTCAGCCACTGGCAAGAAGGATTTCTTCGAAATCTGAAGAGGCTCGCGAGTTTTCTTGTTCAGCGAAATGTTGAAGTTACGAAGAATAGATGAAATTGCTGCCTTGACTTGAAAGAGACCGAATTTCTGTCCAATACAAATTCGAGGTCCTTCGCCGAATCCCATAAAAGTGTATCGATTGCGCTCCTTTCGTCCTTCTTCAGAGAATCGGTCGGGATTGAAAGTATACGGATCCGGATGGTATGCAGAATCGTAATGAATTGCATTCACTGGAATAACAACGATCGTTCCTTTTGGAATGACGAGACGTTCAGAAGATCCAGGAAATTGCGGTGGAAAAATGTAATCTCTGCTGGCCACTCTTGCCATTATAAATATAACGGAGTGAAGTCGCAGGGTTTCGAATAGGATCTGCTCCAGATATTCCATCTCTGTGACGCCTTCTTCGGTGAGTTTTCCGCCGTGACGCTCGTAAACGGAATCCACTTCTTCTTGCGCTCTCTTCGCAATGTCAGGATTTCGAGCCAATTGATATAGAGCGAAGCTGATCAACATGCTTGAGGTTTCTGTTCCTTCGGTCAGGAATAAAAGAGACTGTCCAGCAATCAAATCCTTAGAGTATTTTGCCAAATTTCCTACCGAAAAAAATGAATTACAATATTTAAATATATAGATTAAGGAATTTGCTAACCATTCTCAGTCTTTTTTAGCAGATCCAGGAAGTTCTGCAACAAATCTTGTCGTTTTTCACCCAAGTCTTTCCTTCTCTGTATAACTTTATCAACGAAAGATCGAACCCAATCGCTGTGCTTCTTAGAGACGAGAGGAATGCCTAATATCGGTACCAATTGAGGTTGAAAGCGTATAAAAAACATCTTTATCGAGTTCCAAACTGTTGGGCTGATCATATCCAAAAGTAATTCGCGAAAGGGTGTAATTACAGATGTGAAACTCTGCGCTTCAACGCCAAAGGCAGCAGAAGCGACTACGTCCATTGTGTACATTTCGCCGAGCTTTAAGTAACGAGAGACATTCGATGATCATAATTTCTACATGAAATTCAACTTAATATTTACCGATTTCACTTCTATTCCATCTGAATTTCCTGCTTTGGGGCCGTTTTTAATCCAATCAACGAGAGTGTTGCAAACTCCGTTCATGATCGGAAAGCATGCTTTGACTTTTGAGAAGGTGAAGATGGGCGATATTTGAGCACGAAGATTTTTCCAATCTTCCCCAGAAGCAAAGAATGGATTTATACTCAACAGTGGATCCAATTTCGGATTTACAGTAAAGTCATTATCGTGGAATGAGGAGAAATCTCCAACTATAACGTCTTTCACCAAATCTAAATCCTTCACAAGAACTGCGGGTTTGTGCATTTTATAGATTCCCACATAATTGGCATTCGGATAGGATCTGGAAAAACGGAGATTGTTGTGACGTAACTCACAATACACTTGCAGAGAATCACTATTTGGATCATATAAGGAACATCACATTTCTGAAACGAAAAACGCTCGTTTCCTCACCGATAAATATCGCCAAAGACGTGCCCAAAGTGCTTCTTTCCCGTTACATAATCCCACATGTTGCCGATGAAGGGCAAGGGTTTTGGTCCTGCGATTCCGCGGCGCTCGAAGAAGCTCAGGTGCCACTTGAAGTAGAGATAAATGGCCACGATGGCCGACAGAAGGATGTAAGGAAGCATCGCACTGCGGAAGATGTCCAGTTCCGCCGCGAATCTGAGTGAAACTGAGACTTTCTAATCTTCTCCGCGGCTGACGGAGTTCTAAAATACGCTGGCAATCGTTGAGGTCAGGGAAGTCTCACGAATTGTATCAACACTTAGACGTATTCAAGGGCAAGAGGCCACCGAAACTCTGTCTGATCCACTACAAAGTCTTCCAAATACTGATTGAAGAAGACCTTGTGCTTCAATTTATCTCCGGCTTGTTAGAAGCTCATTGCTCTACTTTTCTTTCTGAGTGGGTAAAAACTATTTGAACTTTTAAAATATATTCTACTACTTTCTATCAGATTTAGCTGACCAGCAAAAGAATTCGTCGCATTCCGATATTACCTACATATTACAGAAAATAGTTGTGAAATGGAATTGTGGGTCAGATTAAAATATGATTCTTTATAATCCACAATATCGTGTATTTGATCAGTTATTTGACAATTTTTCTTTCTGTAAAATTCACCCAAATTCCATCTTCGGCAACGTACATGAAAGATTTCTTTGAAATACGGAGAGGATCGTGAGTTTTCTTGTTCAGTGAAATGTTGAAGTTACGAAGAATAGATGAAATTGCTGCCTTGACTTGAAAGAGACCGAATTTCTGTCCAATACAAATTCGAGGTCCTTCGCCGAATCCTAGAAAAGCGTATCGATTGCGCTCCTTTCGTCCTTCTTCAGAGAATCGGTCGGGATTGAAAGTATACGGATCTGGATGGTATGCAGAATCGTAATGAATGGCGCTGACGGGGACGATGAGTGTCGTTCCTTTTGGAATGGCGAGGCGTTGAGAAGATCCAGGATATTGCGGTGGAAAAACGTAATCTTTGGTAGCTTGTCTTGCCAATACGAACACAACTGAGTGAAGTCGCAGGGTTTCGAATAGGATTTGCTCCAGATATTCCATCTCGGTGACGCCTTCCTCGGTGAGTTTTCCGCCGTGACGCTCATAAACGGAATCCACTTCTTCTTGCGCTCTCTTCGCAATGTCAGGATTTCGAGCCAATTGATACAGAGAGAAGCAGATCAGCATGCTTGAGGTTTCTGTTCCTTCAGCGAGAAACAGAAGCGACTGTCCAGGAACCAAATCATCAGCGTACTTAGCTAAATTGCCTAGAAAAGAAAAACGGATCAGAAATAATATTTTGTTAAATTTGTGCCCAAACAGACCATTCTCAGCCTTCTTTAACATATCCAGGAAGTTCTGCAACAAATCTTGTCGTTTCTCTCCTAATTCTGTCCTTCTTTTCACAACATTAGCAACGAAAGATCTAACCCAATCGCTGTGTTTCTTGGAGACGAAGGGAATGCCCAAGATTGGTGCCAATTGAGGCATAAAGAGCGTGATGAAATTCTTGATGGAATTTATAAATGTTGGACTGACCATGTCCATCAGGAGTTCGCGAAAAGGTGTCATTACAGATGTGAAACTCTGCGCTTCAACGCCAAAGGCAGCAGAAGCGACTACGTCCATTGTGTACATTTCGCCGAGCTTTAAGTAACGAGAGACATTCGATAATCATAATTTCTACATGAAATTCAACTTAATATTTACCGATTTCACTTCTATTCCATCTGAATTTCCTGCTTTGGGGCCGTTTTTAATCCAATCAACGAGAGTGTTGCAAACTCCGTTCATGATCGGAAAGCATGCCTTGACTTTTGAGAAGGTGAAGATGGGCGACACTTGAGCTCTGAGTTCCTTCCAACTTTCTCCAGCAGCAAAGAAAGGGTTTATAACGGAGAGTGGATCTAATTTCGGATCCAGGGCGAAATCATTGTCGTGGAATGAGGAGAAATCTCCAACTATAACGTCTTTCACCACGTCTAAATCCTTCACAAGAACTGCGGGTTTGTGCATTTTATAGATTCCCACGTAATTGGCATTCGGATAGGATCTGAAAAAACGGAGATAATTGTGACTTGTTTAATTCACATTTGATTCAATCACACACTCTAAATCACGCGTAATAAGTTCACAAAGAAGCTCACAATACACTTGGAGAGAATGACTATTCTGAAATTAAAACACTCCTTTTCTTACCGATAAATGTCGTCAAAGACATGCCCAAAGTGCTTCTTTCCCGTTACATAATCCCACATGTTGCCGATGAAGGGCAAGGGTTTTGGTCCTGCGATTCCGCGGCGCTCGAAGAAGCTCAGGTGCCACTTGAAGTAGAGATAAATGGCCACGATGGCCGACAGAAGGATGTAAGGAAGCATCGCACTGCGGAAGATGTCCAGTTCCGCCGCGAATCTGAGTGAAACTGAGACTTTCTAATCTTCTCCGCGGCTGACGGAGTTCTAAAATACGCTGGCAATCGTTGAGGTCAGGGAAGTCTCACGAATTGTATCAACACTTAGACGTATTCAAGGGCAAGAGGCCACCGAAACTCTGTCTGATCCACTACAAAGTCGTCCAAATACTGATTGAAGAAGACCTTGTGCTTCAATTTATCTCCGGCTTGTTAAAAGCTCATTGCTCTACTTTATTATATTTTCCCTTCTGTACTGCTCAGAGTGACAATATTTACTATTTTGAGCTTGTAAAGGTGATCAAATAGAGGAGTGAAACATTCAATTGTGATGCATAGCTTAGTTAATTGGCAAATAATGGTTCATTTAGGAGTTGGAATTGTTTGCTTAGAATTTCGGTTATCCTCAATGTTTGAATGTCCTGAGTTATTGAAGACATTCATGTGGCTTTACAGGATTTGCTTTGAATGTCACATTCTTCGATTTGTGGGAATATTTCATTATCAGATCACTTTATTTGCACATCATTTATCGAACACTTGAAGATTTCTCCGTTCGGGAAAAAATTAAACTTATGTACATCAATTTTGATTACATAATAAACATAGTTATCTTTGATAAATGAAGAAAAATATACTTTCAAGCTCGAATGAGTCAGTTTTGCAATAAACGGTGTAATCAAATGGAAACTTGAAAATCACTTGCGTCAGCAAATAATTACAATTTTCTCTTCTTTCCTTATCAATAATGCATGAGAAACAATCATTTCCTCATCTCGTGTCTCTTCTCTGTTGCGCGATATTCCCGGGAAAGTTAAACACTTCTCAGCTGGATTTTGATTGATGTCATGTCGATGGGGAGGGAAATTTATTGGAAAATTCTCCCTTGTTGCTGCTTATCAGACATTTGTGCTGGGCGACAAAGAAATATGTGGTTAACAATGATGGTCCTTCAACTCTTGGCGTGCTAATTGGCACTTGACAGTGATGGAAACAGATCAAGTTGGAATGGCCACAATTAGAATTTAATAAATTGCCATTTGTCACTGTATTTGCAGAAGACACGACATGTTTCCCTGGTCAAAGCTATTTGTGCCCCGGAGGGAATTTCAGGCATTCCTCTTTGCGAACTTTATCCAAATTCCTTCCTCGCACGCGAGCAGGAAACTTTTCTTGGACACCGGCGGCGGAACGATGGACTTTAGCGAGAGGGTGAGGTTGAAGTGTCGCAGGATGGCCGAAAGTGCAGACTTGGTCTGGAATAGACCGAACTTCTGTCCCAGACAAATTCGAGGCCCTTCGCCGAAGCCCAGAAATGCGTATCGATGACGTTCTTTCCGTTCCTCTGAGAATCTGTTGGGATCAAAAGTGTGAGGATGAGGAAAGTGTCGAGAGTCGTGATGGATGGCGTTGACTGGGATGATGATGGTGGTTCCTTTGGGGACGGTGAGGCATCTGTGGGAGTCAGGAAATTGTGGTGGGAAAGTGAAGTCCTTTGTAGACGTCTTTGCCAGGCTAAATACTGCTGAGTGCAGACGAAGGGTCTCAAAGAGGACCTGCTCCATATACACAAGTTCCATGATTCCTTCCTCAGTCATCTTGCCATCATGTCGTTCATAAACCGTGTCGATTTCTTCCTGAATTCTCACCACAACGTCAGGGTGTCTGGCTAATTCGTACAAAGCATAGCAGATGAGAGTGCTTGAAGTCTCTATTCCGTCCGTGATAAAGGTTAAAGCTTGTCCAACGATGAGGTCCTCATCGAAGACTGAAATATTAGGGGCATTTTAGATGAGTTTGCACACAAATATTCAAACGTTATTGAGTTCTATTACTGTTTTGCTTATCTTTGCTGCGCATATCAATGAAAGCTTGTAAGAAGTCTTGACGACGTTCTCCAATATCATCTCTGCGCTTGATGATCTGATTAATAATCGATCTCAGCCAAGTATCTAATTCTTTAGAGATGAAACTAACGCGAAAGATGCTTATCAATTGAGGAAAGAAGAGAGTCGCAAATGACTTTATCATATTCTCTGAACTTGGGGCAAAAATACTTGTTGCCATAAGTCTGAAATCTGAATTGGGATCCGTGAAAGCCTGTCCTTCGACACCAAAAGCACAAGAAGCCACAACATCTGTGGTAAATCGTCCTCCGAGCTGAAAAAGCAGAGAAAGATGACGTTATAAACATTGTTCTCTGTAGATATTTAGTGTATCTTACAGATTTCGCTTCAATTCCATTTGGATTCGTTGACTCTGGACCACTTTCAATGTACTTGACCAGAGATTGTCGCACAACGTCGATGATTGGGAAGCAGGCTTTCACTTTTGGATAGGTGAAAAGGGGCGAAACTTGACTCCGAATCATCTTCCATCGATCTCCTGTCGCTATAAAGACATTATTTTTCGCAAGTGGGTCTAATTTTTCGTCTACAATGAAGTCATTGGTGTGAAATGATGAGAAATCTCCAGCTAAAACACTCTTGACTATGTCCAAATCCCTCATAAGGACTGCCGGCTGAGACATTTTGAAAAATCCCACGTAATTTGCCTCTGGATAGGATCTGAAATGTATTTGCACCAATTTTACGATGTTATAAAAAAGATTCAACATTTCGCAGTACTTTATATTAATGGCTCTTGTAATTCCAATCGACATTAATAAAAGAAAAAGTTAATTTAAATGCTGTCGATATGCACATAAAATGTATTTATAAACAATAACGATAAAATTTATGTGTGCTAATACTTGATTGATTTGATGTAGATTAATTTAAAAGTATAACTCACTGATACATTTCATCGTAAACCTCTCCGAAGTGCTTCTTTATGCACACGTAGCTCCACATATTGCCCACAAAGGGCAGAGGCTTTGGCCCAACAATTCCGCGGCGGATGAAGAAGCTGAGGTGCCACTTGAAGTAGAGATAAATGGCCAGGATGGCCAGCATGATCAGCAACTGAATCATTTTCGCACTACCAAGGATATTCACCCACTTCTGCCACGAATCTGAGTGACACTGAAGCCGAAATTGGCCAAGATGCTTTGTGTTACTCAAAAATTACTCTCGATAATGTATGTGTGTGATCTCGTTAGCCCAAAGCGACCTCCGCCTAAATTGATAAACACAACCAAGGGATTCCCACTCAATTACTCAGCAATTCTGTGCAATCTACATCAATTTCGCGACCACTTTCAATATAGTAATTCACTTTAAGTGGCTGCCTGAGAGCTCTCATGGAGCAATTTGCACTCTGGAAGCCTTTCTCTGTTGTCGGATTAATTGTGCCGAAAGGGTGGTAATCACCCCTCGGCAAAGCTCCCCCACTGTCAAGGCCACGAGCCATTGTTTCGCAGTCTTGAGATTTGCGTCGAATCTGTGAGCTGACATATGAACAGTTGGGGGCACTACAAATGGTACATTGTCGCACCTTCTGATGCCTCTACTTAATTCCATTGTGTCTTTCGCCTTATATCACATACAATTTCACTAAGTAATTGGCTAGGAAAGGATTGCTAGAAGAGCAGAGTACAATTTGTATGATATTTGGAGTCAATTTAATAGTGGGAAGAGGAAGTTGAGAGCTAAGAATGCTTTAGAAAATAATGTCCAATTGTTTTTACGACTGAAAACATTTTTATTTTGGTAGAGAAGCAATTTAAAAATTTATTTCTACTTTTTGTAATGAGAATAAATAAGATTAAGGTTTCCCTTTTGGCTAAGGATTATATCAATTCGCAGAAAAATAATATTTTTAAGATGAGGATAAGAGAATTTCTGAGAATTGCTCGGTCTTTCATATTTACAAAAGCATCCTATTTCGATAAATTCTTCGCCACAAATAGAACGAGCTATAGACAATTAATTTAAGCGATTAGGAGGGAGTCTCGTAAACATTATAAGTATTAATTATCATATCTTGGTTGAAAATCATGAGAAATGCTGACATATTTGCTTAAAAATGCAGTTCGTTAAGTACTAATTTGCGATAAGGGTTCTCAACTTTCTTAAGCTCTCATTAAAGTAATGAGATTGTGGAAGTTTTGTCACGAGAAAACATTGCCTGGCGAATGAAGAAAGTTTCAGGACTTGAATAAGGAAATTAAAAAATTTGCGCAGTAATCTGTATCCAATAGCATGTCTGTCTACGGCCGATAGGTGGATTAACAAGGGAAATCCGTGTCTCATCCTCTTGTTGCCCGTAACTCCTCAATACCAATCAAAGTGTTGGTCTTTGTTGTGAAGCCAGCCATTGAAAACTGTATAATTGTATCCTTATCGACTTGATGAAGTTAGTGGTCTCGTCAATCCTTCGGCACCTCGCTTTCAAACACCGTCGCCCATCATTTCCGCCTCTTCGCATCGAAAGACAGCCGATGAATTATTTAGGCGATCATTTCGTTGCTGGTCTCCATCACTTTGCCGCCTCTGCAGTCAAATGAACGTGTAGATTGTATGGAAAAGTTTGTTGTGAACAAGGCAAGAGGGAAAATTTCCCCTTGAGCAGGAGGAAAAGAAGGCAAGAATTGTGATTTTAATTAATGTAGGAAAATTTCTGGCGTGGAAAGTTTTTCCGCGATAAAAATCTCCTCCAGGAAAGTTCCGAAGAAGCCACAGAATACGATATACCACTGACAAATATCATCTTTCACTTCTTACTTTTTTATTTATCAATAAGTTCACCTTCGATATTTACACGAGAGAAAAGTCTTACAGTTAGAAACATGTCTTTTCAATTTCTTATATTGAAACACAGAAGAGTGCAAGTTCGATTGCGAACTTCACAACTTTTTGAATCAAGTAACAACTATGTTTGATTCTGAATTTCTCATTTTGATTGCATTTGGTATTTTTTTTTGCTTAAGTTTGGTCACGTTTTTACTATATAATTCTTCATCAGAATAAACTTGGAGAGATTAAACAATTGGAAGAAAGAATTCTCATTGCAATGAAACCATTAATGTGTGGATGGGGAAAAACACGGTGATAAAATATCCCCAAACTTTTGATTCGGGTTGTTTTTGATGAAATTTTTTTTATTGGTTCTTTGCCCTTTGATTTTTACTGCTTCTTGATGAGTGTGACGGATTTGTAAGCCGTGTGCGGACGTGGCGACATTATCTATTTGAAGGCTATTTTTCGGAAATTAGTGTAAATTTTTAGTCATACAAATTTAACCCGTTGACGTTTTTTTTGGTCCTTATTCACGGGTGAAGAAATTCATTTGAAAAGTGTCATAAATCGTTTATATTAGTGTGTTTTGGTTCTGCTCATTTAAGAGAATTTCATTATTTTTTTCTTTATTATAATATAAAAATATTTCCAATTTACATTTATGACGTGGTAAAATTTTGAAACCGTTTCCAAAATGTTCTCCAGATGTGAATTTATCTACTGCTCAAGAATGTCTTGAATTTGCTCATAGCCATTCTTTGTCGCCTCATTTGGCCGCCACGGCTTACATCTCTGACTTAAATGACGAACAAATCGCTGCAGCTGTTGGAGTTCCTTCGCTTCACGCGGAGGTTCTTCTTGAATTTCAAGAAGGACGTCAGGAAGAGTTTTGTGCGATTGGAGAATCTGGCCACGGCCTTCTCGGCCGCCAGGTTCTTCTTCTTCCCCGACTTGGAGCTCTCGTGTGAGTTGGAAGGATGCTTGGTGGGAGTGCCGGATGAGCAGCTCGTGGAGCCGTGCGACAGGAGGTTCATCTCATTTTCGTCTAGCGTGGAAGAGCTGGACGAGGAGGAGACACTTGAACTGGTGGACTTGTTATCCTCGTCCTCCTCATTGAGACCACTCTTCTGCGGCGTGTGCTGTCGCTGGCGATTCCGTGTCCTCCTGGGGATGTTCTCTTTGTTCTCAAAGGAGTTCTTCAAGGTGTGCAGATCCATGGCATTCAGAGGTCCGCTAGAGTGTGCACCTTGTCGCTTCCGGGCAGCTTTCTTGGATGGCGAGTCCTCTTCCTTTGATTTGCCACCAAAACCCGATCCTCCAGGGCCTCCAGTCAGTCGCAATCCCTGTCTCTGTTGCTCAGTCAAATTGCACAAACGCTGCGGATTCAGCTTCACCTGCGCCACGATGCCCACCAGCAGCTCATCCACGTTGTGATCCAGTCCGCTGGACGTCTCAATGAATTTACAGCTGACGTCCTTGGCCAAACGCCTTCCGCCTTGCGTGGGCACTTCTCTGTGCCTCTCCAAGTCCGTCTTGTTTCCCACAAGAATGGCTCCACGCGTGAGCAGCATCTCGTTGTCCCTCAAGTAGTGCAGCACTTTTTCTGCCGCCTTGAAGGTCTTCCTGTCCACCACCGAGTACACAACCACGAAGATATCAATGTTGTAAGTTGCACAAAAGGCCTCCGTCTGAAAGATAAGAAGACAGCAATAACTCGTCAAGAAGTTCCTCAAAAGTAGGCCGAACTACCCAGAAAGATGAAAACTTTTCCACATCACGACAGAATACTAATGACAAGCCCGCATATCTAGTCGGAAAATTGATTTCTGAGAATCCTTTAGTAAGCCATCTTTAATCATGAATTTCATGAGAATTTCAATTAAGGTTTAACTGTAGGAATCTGGGAAATCAATGAAGCTTCCTGAACTTTCAGTTGAGTGAGGAAATGTTCGTCACAATAATTAATGCTGGAGAAATGTATTTTTGTACCATTTTTAGAAAAATGAAATGATTCCGACGTTCTGGTTTATCCCTTATTCTGAAATCTTGTTTCAAATAAAATGTAGGAATGGAAAATGTGCAGAAAATTGCGTAAATAACTTACATTAATCAGAAATAGCTCAAATAGAAATATGAATTTCAAAATAATTCTTAAAAATCAGAATATGAAGAGCAAACATCAGTGAAAAATGAGGAAATACCATTTTTACACATTCACTCTCATTCTACGATGCGGTATGTTATAGAAATGAAAATTGACATATCGCAATCCCATCAGTTATGCTACAAAAAAGAGCCTTCATTCCCTGAATATTTGAAATTCTGTGAGTCGCAATGAATTACATATTCCCAGAAATGTTCATTGTGTGCTAAATTTTGTGCAGCATGCAAAACTCTTTCTACCATTGTCGCATGAAAACCTTCCATCTTTCTTTGATGTCTTCTCACATGGCGTGCTCTCACGACAGCGAATACTCACAGACATTTCACAGGCTGGATGGTCAATGATTTCCAAGTCGGTCTCCTGTCCGTCCAGCAGCACCGAGACCGTCTTCTGCCCATAGTCATCGTCCAAGCTGAGGTCGTACGCGCAAATGTACTCAGAGGTGGTGAACTGGTACGTGAGGGCTGTCTTGCCAACACCCGAGGCGCCCAGCATTGCCACCTTGTAGGCCGCGCCCCCGTCGCCCTGCTCCGTGTCCATGGCTAGGTCGTTGGTCGTCGTCTGCGAAGCATTGCTGCAAGAGGCAAGTGGATCAACACTTGAGTCTGTGCGGGGCTTAGACGCGTCGGGGTACTTCTTACCTGTTGTGTCGATCCCGGCCGCTGTTGGACGAGGTGACAGAGTTTATGGAGCGAGATCTGCGACTCCTGCAGAGGACGAGAGGGTAAATATTATCGTTTGGAGAGTGTTCGGGCTCAAATATTGACATTTATTAGTTTGTCTCGGAGCATCTCCGAAACTCCCATTCCCATTGTCAATGGTAATCTTGCAGCAATTCCACCTTTATGCCATCTCAACAGTGTGATTTTTGCTCTTTACCATTCCTAGTCCTCTCGAGGCTTCCAACAATCACAAGTGGAGCTCAGGGAGAGGAAAACATTTTGATGCTGGGGAAATATACACGGAGTGCAAGGTGAAAGTAAACCTATTACAGACTGTGCAGCTCGATGAAGCCGTGCAAGAAATTCCACCAGAAATATGACTCACAAATATCTAAGAAATTCTATATTGGAGCAGAATATTTTTATGAAGGATTTCTTCGTGTTTCTATTTGTGAGTCTGATGTGATAAAACTGCGATGGACGGTGCGAATGGGGGACCACTAAGTATGGTGTCAAGGAGAGGAGGAAAAAAAGGATGGGGATTAGCTTCTTGACTGGGGGTAAATGCGAGGACACACACACGAGATATTTCCGAGATATTCTTCCGATGTAATCCGCAACGTACAAACTGAGGGTATTAATGGAAGGATGTCTCTCTGGACAATTGGTGTGAGGTAACAAAAATATGACGTGCGGAGACATTTTCCTGAGTCGGGATTTCCTCCTCATTCTCACCTCATTGAGTCACCCAAGTTACAAATTCCATGGGATGTGATGCTGAAACTCCTCAGTCGGTAGTATTCAATGTCCACGTCGGCACAGTGAATGGCTGAGCGGCGGAGTTCCGACAATCGGGGCTGCAATCAGGAGAAAAGCACACAAATTATTTTTCCATCTTATGGGCAAAATTTTTATCCAATTGACCCCCTTTTCCGTCTCTCTCTCGCGCGCGCACCCCAAAGGGAATTCATTTAATTCAATTCCCCCTCGACGAATTATTGATTCTCCCTCTCGTGTGTTTGTTTGATTGAGAAGAGGAGATTGACTTTTGATCTTTTCCACCCGAAAGTGTGCGTTGTGTATCCCAGAGAAGGGACACACAGACAGGATACTCGCCTTCCGGGTGGCGAAAAATATCCACTATACTCTTGAAGATATATTTGCAACAATTTCCATTTGATTGTATTTTTTGCCAATGCCTCTTTTCGATGAAAAAATTTATTTCAAGAGGGCCTCCCACTTCACCAACATGTGCCACTTCCCAGACCCCTTGGCACAAAGTCTATTCAACCGTGGCGCACTCAATAAATCAACCAGGATTTTGCCATATTTCTACGCACGAGGACAGAAAATTAGATGAAATATTTCATAAAAATGTCTCTTTATCTTCTGCACTGGTTTTTTGCGGCTTACATCGAATGGAAGCTAATAATCGAAAATCGGATTAAAATTTAGAAGCACAGAAACGCGTGACACATTTTCTCCACACATCAGGGTTTTCCTAAGCGCACAGAAAAAACAATAAGCCCATCGTTTTTTTGTGCCAGTTTTGCATTTTCTGCTTTTAATATGAATTTCCATTACAGAGAGCATGCGATATTTGAATTTGAAATTAAGTTCTGTTTGTTTTCCGTCCTGATAATACCGGTTTTTCTACAGTGAACAAACATTGTGAGCAATGTGTAGGTTTAATTATAAAATAGTTCTGTGCCAATGGACAGAGAAAATTATTCGAGTGCCAAGATAAAAAAGATGCTCTATGTGAAACACATTTAGTAAATGCAGTGAAACGTAAATAATGTACGTAGATAAATAAAAGAGTGTTTGTGTGCACAGCAAAATGCTGAAAGTTTTGAAATCATTATCAATAACACTTAACAGCTCTTTTGACGTCAATTCCGCAGTTGGCATAAATTGAGGTTCTCATGAAAAACTGAACGAAAGTTTTAAATTCTAACTTTCAAAAAGCTGAATGGTTTAATAGATTGAAAGAGTTACTCCGTGAAAATTGGAGCTCTTCAGAAGACTGGCTTTTGTTCATCCTGACGCTAATTGATTGCATGCGATCAAGAGGGCGGAGGAAGCGTTTTCTGAGAGGCAATTGAAAAACTTTAGCCGCTCAATTGAATTATTCTTATTTAATTTCTTGCGATTCACCCCTCGTAATTGCAAAAGTTTGCGCATTTCTTTTCGATTTTCGACGCGAGAAAAAAATCTCTGGAGCTCATCAAAGTGAAATTTTCTCCCTTCTTTTTGCCGTTTTTACCACATTTTGTTTTATACATATAAGTTTGAGCGAGAAATGTAATAAAAAGAATTCATGGCAACGCTTTCGTCGTCATGTTGAACAAGGTTGTAATTACAGGTAAGAATGCAAAAGGAACTGCTCGCAGACTGTTTTTACCATGGATGATTTATTAAATTTTTAATGTTTTACATGCTGTGTGAAATTGATTCTTCTGGAAGGAATTTCTCAATGAAATCCAGCACTGAAGGATAGAGCTGCGCATTAGATAATTTTCCACGCAGTAATTCGCTCTGTTGAATGAACATTTGGCTCGGAATGAGACGGAGAAGAGGGAAATTCTGCCATGTCACACGAATATGGCTTGAGGATAAGTGTATATTTGGGGAATTTGAGTCCTTTTGTGTTGTCGAATGGCAAAGCCAGGGGGTAAATAGCTGAGTAAATCTCATTCACTCTTGTGATACAAAATTCAAATATTTGCACTCACTCACCCTTATCTTTGCATTTAATTACGGGCGAGAATAAATGCAAGAGTTGGCTTTAGCCATCCGGTGAGGATACACGGAACAAAAAGAGTCACTATCGCGGAATAGAGCAATTATGCAGGATATAAGTATAGTAGGGATTGTGGATTGTAGAACCGTAAAAACACAATTTATACTGTATTTTTTGTTCAGTGAAAATTCACCGAATAATAGGCGCTTAACGCGTGGGCTGAAAGCATTAATCTTAACCAGAAATCCCGATTTGATATGCAAATCGGATTGTGTTACAATCAAATGTATAATACTCAATTTGCATGCAATTCTAACAAGTTGATTTATGAGCTTCAAGAAAATTATTGAGGATTTCAGACAAATTTTATTGCCTATAATTATTTGAATATTCATTTTGAGCTTAAGACATTGCAATGTTTTGTTTGTCAAAATCAATATTTGTAGAACGTGAAAGAAATATGGAATCGTTCGTTAATTACAGAATACAATGCATGAATATTTTGTCTCTTTCGACTGTACTTTTAATTATCCTAAATTTTAGATAAGGAATCTTTTTATCCATGCCTTTTAGTCCAACCACTCCCACTCAATATAGAGACATCAATGTGTTTTTACTGTAGCGAAAAGGGTATTTAAACATTGATAAAAACACTGATGCTAGTTCTATTTATGTTTTCACTGGTGTAAATTCGCTACTTTCGACAGTCCTAATTGACCGTGTGAAAGAAAGCACCCTCCTTTCGTGACTCTATCAGTGAGTCTCTTCATATGGACTGCCATAAATTTATTTGAGAATTTGCTTAATTACAGCGGAGTGGTGTTTGGATTAATTCACTGTACTTCAGCGAAATGTGTCACCTCCCCACGAAGATTGTGCACTAATTTGAAAGACTAATAAATCGTCGTCGCAGGAGGTGAGACCCGAAACTTTTGGGGTTGGGCGCGACATTTTAGGTAAAGATGGTATTAAATGGTGAGATTTATACGTATCTGAACAGTACTTTTGCAAGTGTAATCACACTTCTCGACAGAACAAGATGTGTGAGGCAACACACCCCGAAAACTTGAATCATTACCAATGTGTGCCATACAATGAATTTCCAAGTGTGCACCGCAAATTGCTCACATTGCCTCACCGTAAGTGACTATTTACCGTGAAATGGTGTCATTATGTTGAAATGATTTCGTTCGAGCTACAATTTTCTATCACGTGGAGTATGATTAAATTTTCCCACCTGAAGGCTTGTGCCACAATATGACAACATCATCAGTGACTTCTTCTCTCTCTGGGAAAAATCAATTGCAAAATTCCTTTATCTCATCCCCTTTTGTGCCTTCCACAAGTGCCTCAGTCTTGCATTCTGCGGAAACTCATCCCAGGCTTTTTGTTTTATGTTGAGAAAAATATATAAAACGCCGGCGGAGTGGATGTAATGTGTCGGTTTATGAGGCGGGAATGCACAAGTTTTGCTCAATGATTCCTTTAAACAGTTTTTAGTTAACAAGCATCCAAGATGTAATTTATCAAATGGGAAATTCTTCATCCCTTCACTGCAACTTGCCATATTGAATTTCCTCAAGTTTTCAGGCAACATCTCTTGCTGGAGTTTCATGGCAAAACCCCCGCACAAGTTGCACAATTCAGCACCCAAGATTGTGTCTCTCTTGCATCGTGAAAACGGATATTAAATGAGTGTCTCTCGAAGTTGAACCACAAGCACGTCGGATATATCATGCATAGCGTGTTAGAAAGTGACACGAAAACCTCTCACTGAATTAATTAAAACATCTTTTACAACTTGCACTCAAAATTGCATTTAAATTTCCCTCAGCGCTTTTTCCACGTCACCTAATGTGTAAGGTAATTATCTGATATGGGACTTAATGGGTGATATTTGGGGCACTTCCCTATGTTATTACTCCCTTTAATGTACTGTGTGGCGATGCGTTATTTTTCCAACTTCTCTGTACTTGCGCTCTTGTGCATTTCAAAGAGATATTGAATGTGAAAAACAAATTTCAGAGAAAAAGTGATCATTCAACTGTGAATGCTGGAAAAGATACACCTACAGTTTACTCAACGTTGCCTTGGATGCATTCGTATTCAGTGGTCTTGCGCAAAAATTCCGGAAAATTCAATTAAATTGAAATATGGTTTTCCGTGGACTGGTTGAGTAATTCAATTGTGGAAGATATATGCCAATGCTTTGCATCTTTCTCTCTGACACCACACAGTTGGAAAACCACAAACAGCATCAGTGTGAAAAACATGTGGGAAGAAAAATGATCTAATAATGGCAATGGACCTGGTGGTGTATTTGCATTGCGAGTGAAGAATAAACTGTGATTAAGAACTCGGAAGCCATTGCGCAGTGATGTATTTGACATGTCGAATGTGGGAAGTTCAGCGGAAGTATTTGAATTAATTGCAAAATGTCAGATATAACTATGTTCTAACCATTTAGCTAAGCTTCTATGAATTTTATGGAATGCTGAGTGAGCTTCATACAATGAGTGGCTGTATATCTTTCCTTCTATAGTTGGCAGATGCGCGAATATAATTCCATCACACCATGGAAATCCTTAATATTTTGATTACAGAGGAAGGAAGCTTTCAAATTAATACACTTTAAGCCATTTGAAGATGGGAGGTTGGCCTCAGATTGTTTCCCAACTATTTCGGATAATTAAATATTTATGTTAAACATTCAAATCAAATTATGTATCGACTAAGCCTCGTCATGACGACACATGAGACTCCACAAATATTCTTCTCTTCGGGGGTCTTTGCGGGGTTGCCCATGTGGGTGGTTGAATTTCTAAATTGAGTGGACGTTTGGCGAAAATTCACTTACTTTCCTATTTTCCGCTGGCATACTCGCCGTCCGCATTCTCTGCTTCTGCTTCGCGGGGCGCTGCGAAGAACTGGGGGTGGCACAATCTGGTGGTGGTCTGTTAACTGGTGACTTGCAGTAGCGCTCCCTGTGCGACATTTGAGGTAATTAAATGGAAATTGGTGAGACATTAAATGGATTTCACGATGGAAACTTTGCGAGCAAAGTGGATTTCAAAGGAGGAATCCTTTTCCCGAGTAAATACTCAAACTCTCCCCTAAACTTTCCTACCCCATCAGCCGGTGAGCTTTTCCGTGATGAAATTGCAGGGGGAAATTTTCGGGGTGACTTTTCTCTCGACGCGCTGTTTTGTCCAACAGTCGTGGAAAATATATCTATACAGACAATGAATAAGTAATGGGACTCAAATGTGTTTTGGTATAGTTTGAAGTGGTTCTCACCCGGAAGCCTGAAGGTTGTTTCTCATTCATTTCCACAGCTTCTGTCATTATATTAAAATTCTCATCATTCAACTCGTGGCAATTGTTAGGAACTCGTGCAATGCATTGAGGGATTGGGGATGTTTTAATATCTATTATACGCGGATAACTTTTCAGAATTGCTTTTGATGTTACATAATCTGAATGGCAAGATGATGGCGAGTAAAAATCCTTCAACTGCGGATAAAAGATGTATCTCACCATTTCCTTACTCATGCCATTCATTCATTCTTCAAAAACATTGAACGATGCTAAGCAAATTGGATTTGAAACTCTCCTTTTGCACCACGATTTTTCTGTACGTTTTCCCCAACCGCTCGACAAGTTAAATCTCCTGCGGAAAATCTCATAAAATGATACTGCTCCGTTGGCAATACGAGAGAGAAAATACGTGGAAATTGTGAGCCACATGACCAGGCGTCCCCATCGACACGAAATATTTGAATGCACACGATGAATCGACTTTGAGAAGATTCAGAGTGAATAATTTACTATGTTCTCTCCATCTTTGAGGTGGCGCAGGATTCAACGGCAAATGCGTACTGTTGAATTATTCAAGGGATTTCCCACAATTTTGTGAGCTTTCTGGGGTAGGAAAATTATTGTAATATTACCAGAACTGTTTGCGGATTCCTCTGTGAAGTCATAATCTTTATAAATACAATCATAAAAAAGGGCAAAATACTCTCGTTCGCCCAGTTCACCCATAAGCTAGTCTTGGCGTTTACTTATCACGCCTTTTGTATTTCTCATCCAGTGCAATTGGAACTATTATTTCATTAATTCATAGATTGGCACAGATTGTAGCGCAGAACGTAGATTTATGATGTTTTCTTTGTTAAACCGACTGAATATCTCAATAATGCTTATCATAAATTTCATCAGCCGGGCCCCCTGTGAATGCCCCAATTTGCACTATTTCCTTGTGGAGTAACTTTCTGATATAATCCTGTAATAACAAGATGGCAATCGCGCGATAACAATTGCGCCAAAACTTCCACCTGTCGTGCTGCTCTGCAATCAAGCGTAAAAGCTCACGTGGCGATGGTGTGAGTTCACGTGCCAAGGCGAATGGTTTTTGGGGAGGAAATTGTGTGCCAGAACTCATCACTACTCACCGTGAATATCCTGTGGTATTTCCACTTCCGCCGCCCGAGTCGCCCCGCCACGCCGACACGTCTTCAGTGCCGCGAACGCTGCTGAACCTGTGCAGATCCGTGGTGGGCTGAGCCAGGGTGACAGACGAGGAGCGTCTCCGATTGAATACTGGTGATTTCTGTGATTTGATGTCCTAAAGCGATAGATGGAGCATGAGAAAGGGGATCAGATGGAAGAATACGTCGAAGGAGTGACACAAAACGCGACGAAAACGCTCTCGAAGCCATGACAGAATTCTCCAGCTGAGACTCGCGGAGTGTGATTCGCATGAGAAAGGAGAGGAAAAAATCCTCGGGACTAATTTAATCAATTCATGTCTTATACACGATTTTTCTTCGTTTCTTCCAGAGTTGGAAATGGTTATAGATTTATGGGGAGGATTTTGAGTATAAAATCTTGGGGGATAATTTTGATTTTATGAAAGTTCTTCTATATCCTAATTTATCTGTGATTTCTCTATTACTCAACTCTGTCGCTCTTAAATTTCCTATTTCATTCAAAGTGTCACACCTCTCGCCATCCAAATCAACCCCTATTATATGCTATTGCTTTGCCAAAGGGCTTCGTCGGAACATGATATACATACGGTATGCAACTCACCGGCGCTTTGTAGTTGTTCTTCTCAACCAACGTTTTGCCTGGAGAGTTGATAGCACTTCCGCTCGCGGGTGGCCCGGGCAGAATTCCTGGCGAAGCCGAGGGTGTCGTGGCGCTGGACGTGGGAGTTCCTGGCGTGCCTTGCTGCGGCGTCGGCAGGAGAAAGTGACTGGAGTCCGACATTGGCGTGGGCGGAAGACCGGAAGTGGCGCGGGTGACGCTCCCGCGTCCGTGAGGTCCGCCACTCATTGGACTGGGCCGAGCGGATGCGGAATAGCCGCCAGGGATGCTGCTGTTGTTGTTGCTAGAGGAGCATGTGCTGCTCATGGCCTCGGACTCATCGCAGCTCTCTGCAAAGGAGAGAATCCGTATGTCAGAAAGTTTGTCTGCTAGTTCAGATAAGAGAGTGCAGCGTTGGGTATTTGAATGAATTTACAAAGTCATCATATAAATTAACTTCAGATAAAATTACAGAAACTCTCGGTGAAATTATTTTTCATTCGTGTTTTAAACTTGTGAGTTGCAACGCTTATATTAAAGTCTCATTTGAATATATAAATGAATATTTTCATTTGCAGAATTTAATAATAGAGTTGAGGAGTATTACTGCTCAGGCTTCCAATGAAGAATTGTATGCATCACAGCTTAAAATGAAATGTTCTTTGAAGGGAATTACTTACATCTGAAAAGCACACAATTCAATTCAATGTGTCTAGCAATATTTTGCGTATATATTTAATTTTCTAAGCGATTTTCCAGAATCTCATTTCATGCAGCGAACGATATTCCCTGGAAGGTCATTGTACTCAGAGGAAACACCCCTTGATTTCGCTTCACTCCGCTCTCAAATTCTATATTATTTTTCTCAATTCAAAAATTTATCTAATTTCGTGTGTTAGATTAACTTTCAAGTAATTTTCGTCATGCCATACGACTCAATGAACTGTGCAGCGTGCGTAATGGAAAATATGTGGGTGGGTGGCTGAAAAGAAAGAACGTGCCGGCGAGATGTGGAAATTCGTGCAAATTTGATCCTCTTCCACGTGCTTTCCTGCGAAGCCCCCGCCATGGGACTGTGTCCCGAGCAAGCAAGAGGCCAATTACAAAATTACCCAGAGAATTTAGTCTCACTCCACGTGCGCTCAATCTAATATCTTTGGCGCTATTTTCAGAGTGTCGCAGAAAAGGCGAGCGTTCACATCAATTTCCCAACCCTCATTAGAGGCCATTTCTTGCAGTCACTCCGCTTCACACTTGGCCGCTATGACACATCCTCCAGAAGTTCTCAGAAGCACAACCGTGCGCTGGAACCCGAAGAATTTCATTCAATTTTTCTCATCCAATCGCAGACCGAGTGTATGCTTATAATATTTAAACTTTGCCATGCTATGAATTAGTCGACAACAGCAGATGGAGATTCTTTTCACTGGCTTTCTCCCCTCCTCCGCTCAATCAGAGACAGAAGATCTGTCTCCACCATCACGCCGAGGGTCAACCCCGAACCATTCTCCTCGTTCTTTTGTTATTGTTTATTGTTGTGATTTCTGGGAGAGACGCTATTTGTCATTGATCGTGTCTGAAGAAGAAAATTTATATTTTAGAAACATTGTTTTGTAACATTTATATTTGGCTATTCTCTGAACAGATAGAAGACTGAGTCTGAAATAATAAACATCTCAATGTAATTTATCAAGTTTCAAAATATATCATTATTTTGAAGACTGAGTGACAGAATCAGACTATAAATTATGCTTAAAGCTCGACACCGAACTCTATGCGCCTACTCATTCACTAATTAACATTGAAATGTTAATGATTTGATGCATCGAACAATGAGCTTTCAAAACCATTCACCTGTTGAAATCGATACTCGTAAGTCTAAAACATCTTTCGCGCCATATAATTAATGTAGAGTTTTTTTAGAGAGTAGTTCAATGAAGAAAAATCATGAGTTTTCCATGGTAGTATATGTATTTTGAACGTCGCACATCGCGGCGTCTTTGACATTTTGTAGAAGATTTCGGTGAAATATGCAAAAAAGGTATCTTTGATGGTGTTCACGTTCTGTCAATACCATTTTCTTGCCTCCATTAGAAGATAATTTCTGGGCGCTTCAGCTACACTTTCTCACGAATTTGGGTCATTGACATAGCGAAAAGCTCTCCAGTAAATCGTCATGCGATATACTGCTATTTTGACTGATTTAGTCTCTGCAGCGAGAATTGCGGATAAAGACACTCTCGAGTTGGTATAGAGTAATGGGCGTTCCTTCTTGTTTATCTTCTCGAAAATGTCGAAAAAGTTTGTCTTTTTTCACCTCCATCCCTCAATATACACTCTCTTCAAGTCTTCTCAAACAAACAACTCTATATTTCATGGGAAAAGTGGGAGCTTTTCGCTTATGCGTGCATAAATTTCTGCAAAATATTCTCGTTAGTAGGAGATTGGCCTTTCTTTAAGAACAGCAATAAATTGGATTCTTTTTTCTTGAAATTAAATATTTGTAAATTCTTATTACTCCCTCCAGAGGAGTTCAGGACATTCATGGGCGAAAAACAGAGAATCTGTGCTGCTAATGGCTGGAGTTCGGGGGTTAGATTATAAAATATTCATGGGTGTTGTCGCTCCATCTGGGCAAATAATACTTAGAGGAGGGATGATGAGAAAGGCGCACAAACATGTGTTATGTGGATCAAAAGGATCTCTCGCAATTATGTCATGGGGAATTCATTTTCTTAATTAATTTCCTACTGTCAAACGACAATGTTGAGCAAATTTCTTAACAATCTTTTTCCCTACCCCACAGTCATGTTTCCCTTCAACCCTTGAGGCTCCTGGATTTAAAATGAATAAACAGACATTCATTTCATTATGACATTGGAGCAGATAATTTTGTAATTACTTTGATGAATACGACGGAAAACCTATCCCTAAAGTCGGCGAATTTGCGTGTTTTCGTGCTACTTTCGCGCCTGTGAATTTGTTTGTACAACACTAGACAGAATGCGTTTGATCAAATGTTGTTATGTGTGAATTGGGTGTACGTTCAAATTGATGGGCAAAAGCACACTTGGACTGACTGGAAGTGACTGCTGGCCATGCAAATGACGCTCATAATTGCATGAATTTGGGGCCAGCAGTGTGAATCACTTGAAATTTGCATCGCAATACCATTTCTCTGGGTGTGAATGGCCATCAAAGGCGATCGATAGTCAATTAAAAAACAATCCAAGGGATTTTCGCCAATTCTCCTCATCGCATAGAATATGGGGTGGATTTCGAGAGATTGCGACTCACCGTAAAGTGGAGCGCTCCTCTTCACACTGGCCTCTTGCGCGCCTGTCTGGATATTACCGTAGAGCTTTGGCAGCTTCTTTCCTGTGCCGGTGAATTTCTCCTCGTCACTCGAGGTGCTCGTGAGACCTCCAAAGTCCACGTGAGCCGGCATAGTTCGGCCAGCGTGAAAGCTTCTGTGTGTCTGGTTCTGGTGGAGGCAGCAATACTTCATGTGCTTACAGTATTCGGCGGTTGTGGACGTGGGTCTGGCCACTCGAAAGGAGCTCGAACGACCGAAATTCGAGGCATTGCTCGCGGCATTCATTCGCATCGCTGCAGAATTAGACACTGACAGAGTCCTGGTCCGCTGAAACACATCCCCACTGCCGGCGGACATTGGGGCTGAGGGCAGATTGTGACAGCATCTGGAGCTGGTGCAGCGAAAGCGACACTTGGACCTCGGGATGACCTATGGAAATCCGCGCGGAATTAGCTTTGATGGGCATTTTGATAATAGCAACAGAGACACTCCCTACTTTGTCCTCCAGGATATTCGAGATGAGCTCCACATGGTCCTCATCCTCGTTGAGCATGGAGAAGAAGTCCTTGAAGGTCTCCGGAAATGACGGCGGAATTTGCCCCGGATACTGCCTCTGCTCGAACTTGGCGTCCATGCCTCAGCACCTATTCAGTATTTGTTCATTTCTGTCACGTTAGGCCGCTCTAATGCGCCGGATATATACAGCGAGAGTTGGTGTATGTGGGGGTAAAATGGGGGGAGACACGCACTTTCTCATTTTCATTATGCCCAAAAAAAATTCAAAGTCATCGACCGATAGCACTTGAATTATCCTTTCGCATGAAATTTACTCTTGTTTGCACAACATGCCTCTTCTTTGGCTGAAAAATTACACCCACCAGAGCGACCAGACTGAGATGGAGTGCAGGACATGCGAGGGGATATTTATTTAGGTTTCCCTGTGAATTTCGCCTCTGAAGCAACAAACAGCGAGTCTGAATGAAATTGGATTTGCCAGAATGGAAGTGTATTGGGAATACATTTTTAGAGGACATTAGCAAAGTAGAATGCGCGTTGAGGATTGAAAGGGTTCACTTCGTCGACAAGTGTCGTACATCTTCATAGCGACACATTTTTTCAGTTATACATGGAAAAAATACTCATTTTATTTGATATCCTGGATGATTTTCACTTCTTCAAATCTTTGCTACGTGCATGAGTTTAGAATGAAAATTTGAGTAACATTTGAGAGGAAGACGAGGAAAAGAAACTCGTAGAAGCTTTATATTATTTATTTAAAAGCCACAGAAAGTTTAAGGGCATTTGAAAACATTGCCGCTGCTCCTCGTAATAAATTAGCATGTCCTTGAGTTTGAGAATGTCTGACCACTTTAGTCCCTGGGACTTAAGTCTCTCGGAACTTTTTGCCATAAATTTCAAATTTTCATCCATTTAAGCAGATACTCGGGTGAGTTTTGATGCGATGCTTCAGTTTTTAATATCAATTTATATTCATCGACCACATCCAATCATGTTCGGAGGTCAACAAAGCGACGAGCCTTCCTCTTCACCTGCGAGTTTTTTGGCGTGACAACACTCAAAATGTAATCACTGCCATCCTCTGCAAAGCAAAATCCAGCAAAAATGATGACGACACTCATTGGGAGGGATTCTGCGGGAGTCAAGAGTGAACCATTCATCTTCTTAACAGAGAGGGAGGATTTAATATATTGCCATTGAATTGAATTTACTGTCATTGAAAAATCCATCATTTTCCTGAGCACGTTTGGCCATTGTATTTCGTCACTCTTCCAGGTAATGTGGGTTGTAATGTCGCTCATTCCACTGGCTAACAATCGAGGCTGAGAAGTGGGTGGCGCCGTGTAAAGAAAGTGCCAGGTAAACTACACTTTAGGCGGAAATTATATTAAGTTTCTTTTGCACTCCATATCTGAAATATGCTGTTGCAACACCAACAAGTGACTTTGTAGAGCTTCTCTCACAACTTTCTACTAAATTTAATAATAAATTTTCTAAGAAGCTTTACACCAACTCGAGCGTGAGATGCGAAAGTGTGACAGGGAGAATACATGTATTAAAAAGCCAACATGAGGCGCAAAGTAGACACTCCGGACGGCAAATATGTATTCAATCCATGGATATGAATTTCAGTGTCAAACTGTCAGCGACAGAAGAAAGGGTTCAACCGGTCAAAATATCTATTTTCTTGCCATCAGCCACTGTGTCGTCTCCCTTCCGTCTTCCGATCAATCGGATGGAAAAGTGTGGAAGAATGAAATGTTAGGTGAACAGCAGGGCTTTCAATTTCCCTCCTTTTCTCCAATCTCACCTCTTCCGCTTCAGGAAAGTTGGAAGAATTGCAGATTATTCAACTCAGATAGCATATTTCTTATGCTTGGCAAATCTTATCTGCAATCTTTGCGTATTTTTTCATCACTCAACTCTGATTGTGAAATTTATTCGACTTTGCCGGGACATTGAAACAAAGACGAAGGGGAATGATGAATGAGATTGAGATTGAATTCTCAATTCCAACCACTCATCGTCCATGCTTTGCGCAATGATTGCGCAATATAAAACAGGTGATATTTAGAACCGCGATCCCCGTTTAACTTTTCGTGGAATGGGAGCAATTGTAATTATTAAAATATTTTAATATAAGAGCCTGTGACATCTGGAAGACGAATTGCAAATGGACTCGAAGGCGGGGTGCAAAATGGGATCAATTGTTGAAGCAGAAGTGAGGAATTTTCTCGCAGTTATTTGGCCAAATGTGCGCTGTTTGGTATCTTCTTTTCATTCAATATGAAATTGTGCGATGAAGAGCAATTCTTGAGGTTTTGCCACCCTTCGAGACAATCCATCAGTCTCATCCTTGAGGAGGAAATTACTCAATGGAATCAAAAGTTTTTCCCCATTTCAACTTGCTAAGATGGTCTGCTTTTTCATCTTCAATGCCTGAAATTGCTATTAAATTTCGTGTACATTTTCGGGCGTGTGAATTGACGGGGAAAAGAGACACAAGGCGGAAATTTTCTTCCTCCCTTGTCGCCTCATAAGATCGATCGCAATTTGTATTGAAAGCTCATGTCATAAAATATTTAATGCTTTATACATGTATCTCGCTTCATCGTCTGATACCGTGGAGGCGTCTGATGGCGTAAAATTTGGAATAGAGATACCACTTTAAGGTTCACCCCATTGAAATATTCATATCATTGAAGCTCACGCCTGATCGGGAACACCAGCCGTCTATTGTTCGGTCTTTTATGGCGGCACAAGAGGAGAAAGTAGTTCAAGTGGTGTCTTTTTATTTTTCCGTCTCAGAGGAGAAATTCAATTTTCCATTAATTTATTATTTCTATTCTTTTAGAAAGGCAAATTGATTCAATTACTTTACATTCCATAGCATCAGAGAGGCCTCAAAGTCTGCCACAAATTGTGCCACACGACTCTGTATGAGTGTGAGGAGCTCTCGTCTTGTTGGTTTGGCGTGTTTTGAGTCTGATGCGAAAAGCCGAAAAGGATGATGGAGAGGCAAATGCTCCTGTCTGTGATCTCTGCGTGGCTGAAGTGTGGATGGAGGGTAAATAACAAAGAGATCTAATATAATCTAATTCCCTGGGATTGTTTTTCTTCGTCATTTCCCAACAAAAATCACAAGAATGTCGAGTGTGCAAGGTGAGAACATTCAATTCGGACTTGCTGTACGCGACAATCCGCACATTGCCACAGAGCCATAAGGTTTCTTTCCACAGAAATTAGGATGTTCATGGAAACCCTTTCTGTTTGCCCGCCTTGCATAAATTGACTTATTTTTCACATTTTGTCTCTCCACGCGCTTCAACACAACCAACACCCCTTTCATGGTATTTATTGATATTGCTCTGACCTGAAATCCTCTCTAATCAATAAACACGCAGATTAACTTTTGTACAATTGCCAATTTCTCTGTCAGTCCCCAGCGGCGTCCCGCCTCTTCAATTATCACCACATATGCCGTTTCAATTAAAATCATCACAAATGGTGTCCCGAGCTAAAAAGCACCACAATGCCCCAAAGGTCGAGTCGGCAGTGCGCTCTCTGAGGTGCGAGATATGAACCAGTCATTATTTGCACCGCTCAGCGACTCTCAAACAAATGGAATTATATGATGATGGCACATAAAACAGTGACCTTTTCATTAAAAAGCTCCGCTGAGCGATCTGCTAGGCGAGCAATGAAATGATATTTTATTTGGCCAGATGTGACAGTCATTTCAATTTATCACGAGGGTTGTGTTTCGAGGATCTCAACCGGGGACCCTACGAGTGATTAAAGTAATGTCAGTAACCTTCTCCAAATTTTTCTGGCTGATGAGAGGAGTCATTTCCCTGTCGGATTTTCCCATGGAATTGTCTTCTGCTGCTAAGTCTAAGACGACTAAGAGCTCCACGTGGTGCTGCGAATGGATAAATTTCATGCACAATCATTCCATCTACAAGTTTTCTCCCTTCGGATGGTAAATAAGGGAGAAGCACTGACCCTCCGCGGAAATCGATATGAGTAATGGTTCGGTTAGATATAGATTGTGCTTGCTGGAGCATTAATGCCAATGTTCTCGGCATCAAATCTCATACCCTAATCACACGTCTGTAGCTTAATAGGATTCAACTTTTCGGCATACAGTGGGAATGTTTTTCAGTGTTGTTTCTTGCAATATTTCCCCAATAACTTAAACCCTTGTGAGAATGGTTTAACGATAAATTCATCCGCTTCTTTTTGGGATATTCACAAGAACACTGGGCACAACTGATATGAGATAAAATGTGGTGAGAAGCTTATAGAGGCACAATACCGCTCTCCTATCAGATAACCATTTGTGTAAGTCGCGCTGCTGAGGAACACATATCGGGGAAATGTGTGTAATTCCCTCAAGTTAGCCATATGTCTCGTTCGATTGATGATAACTCGCTGTGGAATTTCATATTGAATATTTGGCCACATTGGTAAGCTTGTTCGACATGATACATATATCATCGCATTTCGTGCAACTTGATTGCCCTGGCATGCCAACATACACACTCCATGTTATGTGCACAGAATCAAAAAATGGCGAAAGTGGATTTATATTGACTGGCTTCCACTGAATGGGAGTCTGAAACAAAACCCTGCGAGGGTGTATACTGAATTCGCATGAATCTCGTTCAATTTCAATGAGATACTGAGCATGGCGAGATTGCAGTATGCCTCGGATTCATTTACAATTTAAGCGGGAAGTGAAAGTTTTGGTTTCGTGGCTTTCACACATTGTGCGGCGAAATAGTAAATTACCAGTCGTTGCGCCGAGGATCAGGAGTTCCTGTTCGTTTTGTTTCAAATCTG